TGCCTGCAGTGTATTTACGACCTTAATATTTGAAACAACTTGCGAAAAACAAACCCTCAACGCACTATAATGCAAATAATACTCTTTCTATGCGAACTTTCTTCAAAAGGATGACTTCTTCATTGATAATCCGTCCGAGCTATAATATACAATTTTACGCTTTACTATGAACAAAATAATGCCGTGTGGCTCCAGAAGTCTAAAACTAGTCAAATATGATCTATTTCCCAAAAAATAGGCGATTATAACGCCTGTAGCCGTGAACGCGGTAACCGATGTCGCTGCGCGATAACACCTGGTTATAACGTATATCCTCACCCGTATTGAAGCAGTAGTCAAATTCGAAATTGTGTCAAGGTAATATTCAACAGTGAATTGACAAGTATTTGCGAAGTACATATAAAATCGGTCCGTATACACATATAATGCAAGTATACAAATTAGATTAAAAAGCATGTTTACAGTTGGTATAGGGGTACTACATATTTTCTTGGACAAATTTGACAAGATATTATGGTGAGATCTGCCGTATATCTTAGGTAATATCCAAATGATACAATGATCCGAGTTCATGATAGGAGCACGTCTGCGTGCTTTATATATTTCCTCACCATTAATAAACACTAGATCCAGAGTTTTATCAAGTCGAGTAGGGAATTTAACAATATTGGCATGACCTAATGATACGAGGAAAGAACAATTGCAGCAGTTAAAATCTCCTGTGACAACTGATAAAGAGTTTTCAAGATGTGTAACGGTGAATTCAGTGAATTCATCAGCAAAATCAGATAGATCGGATGCAGAACAGCCAGGAGTAACATAAATGTTTGAGATGAAGACGTATTTAAACTTTGATAAGTGTTTCGGGCGGCATTGGACTGTTATACAATCAACAAAGTCATTAGAGTAAGAAAAACATACATTATTTGAAGTTGACCATTGAGAATAAATGAAAGTTGCAACACCTCCACCTCTTTTCTTTCTGGAGCATAGTCGATCTTGCCTAAACAATGTAAAACCATTTAGGGAAACCAGATTGTCATCATAGAGTTAATAATAATAATAGTATATTCTCATTTTGCACATGAGGGACGCCAGTTTACAGGCATCATCAGTTTGATAAATTACACATACGATTAGCAATCATAATTAATAATAATGTTTTAATAAAATACACATTTTTTCCTACCTGTGTAGGACACACCAAATGTACAGGCATGGATAAGCATTATTTAAATTTCATAAATTTGGTTTATGGTTAAATTACATGGTTGCTGACGTTTTATCTTTGGTTTGTGGGAACAATATGATAACCAGTCATTCAATGGAGCACATCATGAAATATAGGAATATTGACTTCGCATTAACAAAAAAACCCAAGTAAGTTTTGGATGGATTAAAAATACTTGGGAAAAAATAAAGCTTGAAGTAATTCCTCAATATAACTTGGGTGTGTACAAATCCGAATCTCATTTTTGATTTATATCCAAATTGGGTAATAAGGAAGCTATTTTTACAGATACGATCAGTTATGTTATAAGCTACAATCGTGACGTTGTATTACAAATTGATACTTTTCCATTGGTATAAGAGTATATTCCACAAATGTAATCCAGGTTGCGTCGTGGAGAAAGTTAATTCGTTATTAACCAGGCAACTGAAAGATACGGGACCAATAATGTTTGCAGATCATTTGTCATTGTAAATGGTCAAATATCCACATTATTCATTCTCATTCAAAAAGTCAAATGGAAGCTGAAATGGTGAGAGAAAAAAGAAGACAAACAACAGCAACGCAAAAGAAAGCAACGGGAGTCCTTAAGGAGTGATTAATAAATATATACATATATATTCTGTTTAGTAACTGTGGTTATTTTGGTACACAAACTAACTAGTCCCGTTATGCTAACTTTTATATTATGTGTGAACTAATATTACTGTCCTGTGTAGAAATGTTTATCATCTAGTTCCAATAATATTAAAATTTATAATTGTAGTTTGTTGTAACTACACGTTTAAAGAACTTAAAATATCTATGTAGGGTGAAAAAGAAGGTGTAAGAGTCAGGCGTAAAGTGCATTGTCATCTTTGAGCAGTCTGGTGACTGAGGAGATGAACACTGGAAGTGTGTTTGCATCGCGCACATTAGCTGGTAGTCTATTCCAAATGACTGAAAACTTATTTAAGAAGAAGTTGTACCGCACGTAAGTCTGACAGTGCTCCATAGCAGCTAGGTTGTGATGATTTCTAAGATTGTAACTGATGACAGCGGTAGGTTTAGTTATTGGCTCGGAGGAATGCAAGAGAAGATTAGTTAGCTTATAGTAAAAGATAAGGTTTAGCTTAAGGCGTCTTTTCCAGAGGGGTTCTAATCTTAGTCTTCGCATCGCTCATGGTATTCCAGACCACTTTCTAAACCAAGAGTTCTTGAGGTAAACTGCCGTTGCACTCCCTCTAATTTAAGCTTGTCATTTTGTCTGAGTCCGCTAAGAATAAACGGGCAGTATTCTAAGATAGGTCGGACACATACTTTGTATAATAAAACCCTAGTTTCACAACAAAAGAAATTGCGTGTTATGCATCCTATCAGCCTTCGCGTTTTACGTCTGGCATAATCAGTCTGTTCAGCGAACGTTAGGTTACTAGAGTATCTAATACCGAGATCTACGACTGAGTTGAGCTTAGCTAGTTTTCGCCCATTTATTTCAAGAGTTAGATCAAGGTTACTGTTGCCGATACAAATCCAGCCGCATTTGTCAATGTTAAAATTTAGACAGGATTCAGCACACCACGTTGCAAGGCTACTTAGTTCAAGATGTATTTTAGTAACCATATCGCTTAATTCATGAGTGTAGCAGGAGTAGACGACTTTGAGGTCGTCAGCATATAGGAATGGTTTACCTGAGGTGAAGCACTTGCAAATGCTGTTAATGTAGACTGTGAATAAAAGTGGACCTAGGACACTACCTTGCACGACCCCACTTGAGATCTGCCTAGGATGAGACAATACAGATCCAACTTTGGTTATTTGTACCCTGTTGCTTAGAAATGATTTTAACCAGTTCAGTAATGGGTTGCGAATTCCACAAGAGTACAGCTTCTCAAAGAGAATACTGTGAGATACCATGTCAAATGCCCTAGATATATCGAAGTAGAGAACAACGACTAGCTTACGTGCTTCGCGACTACTAGTGATGCAGTTGAAAAAGTCGAAGTGGCAAGTAACGCAGGATCTATTTTTGAGAAATCCGTGTTGAGACCTTGTAACAAGATCTTCCCTAATTAGGTAGTCTGACAATTGATCTTTTACAACTTTCTCCATGATTCGTGAGATAACTGGGGTTATATTTATGGGTCTGTAATTGCGGACGTTTGCCCTATCACCAGATTTGTAATGTGGAATTATGAAGCTAGTTTTCCACTCACTAGGGTAAGTGCCAGTGTCCATAGATATTGAGAAGAATTTAAGAAGTAACAGGGTATATCACACCCACTGTTTTTGAAAATTATCGAAGCGAGGCCATCCGGTCCCGTACTAGTGGAAGGTTTAAGGCTTTTAATTGCTTGTACTATTAACTGATTAGTGAACACAATGCTTTCAAGGGAAGAGATAGTAAGGGGGGCGGTTTCACCAGGCATATGTGTTTCTAAACTAAAGTTTGCAAACCAATCACTGAAAGTTCACAGATAGTGGCAGGTTCATTGTAGATTACTTTGTCGTGAAGTAAGTATGGGATTTCCCTCGCCGACTGCATTCGTTTTTTAAGAAGTGCCGTTAAGTTATAAACTTTGGAGGTACTTTCAAGTGCCGTTAACTCTTCGTCGAGGTCCTTTTGAGAGCGTAGGCGCTTGATAGATTCAAGAGACTCGTGGATTGAGAGCAATAGTGATATGTCCTTAGTGGAATAGTACTGTTTCTTCAGCTTCCTTAACTTATTACGGTGTGCCCTTGGAATATATTCAGTTCGGTGTCTACTTAATTTCACTATTTTCTTTGGAGCAACTGTATCTAGACAAAGGGTAACATTCCTGTAAAACAGGGTTACTAAGGCCTCCAGGGAGTCAGTGGTAAAATAGTCATCCCATTGACAGAGTCGAATAAGTTCTTGGACTAATCCCCAGTCTGTATATTTGTAACTACGACATATTGTGCTTCCTGAGTCTTGTTTGTTTCCTGTATTTAGTGGTGAGAAAGGCAGAGAGCAGAGTACCATTCTATGGTCACTACTGGAAAATCTATTACCAACATAGTGGATACTGGGATTGTGTCATGACAAAAAACAAGGTCCAACATGTTGTCACCACGAGTAGGTGTCTGGACGTGTTGTTGCCATCCATAACAGTCTATAGTGGCAAGTAATTCGTCGAAGCGTTGGGGGCCGGAACTAGTTAGCCAATTGACTTCTGGAAGATTGAAGTCCCCTGCAATTATTTTGTAATTAGCACTAAACGAGGATGCGTGTGCAAACGATTTAGCTAATAACGCATCAGTTTCTTTTGTTGAGCTTGGTGCTCGATAAACACAGCCTATGAGAAGTTTGTACTTATCTCCATGTAAGACAACCCAGAGTGAGTCAGGTACATTATTCATTGTTTCATCTTCCACCTTACTGACTACAAATGAGCTATGTATATATATGAGACATCCTCCACCACGCTTGCAATCTCTGTTTGCACGGTGTACAGTGTAATCATCGATACCTATATGCACATCAAGTACAGAGGATGAGCACCATGACTCAGTAATCAGAGCTACAGTAGGCTTGGCGACTAATAATAATGTCCTTAGTTCAGATATCTTATTGATTAAGGAACGTGCATTAATTAGCAATATCGTGAATAAGTCACGGGATACTACAAACTGGCTTAAAATGTCACCATAACCTAAATCTATTTGTGCGTCAGCACCGCAAGAATTTATGAATGAAAAGGAGGTCGGACTGGGTGTCTGTACATCGGGTTTGTGTGCAATGAGGTGGTCCTAGGTGCCATGGGTCGTACCAGTGATTCGGGACACCTGGAAAATTTACCATGTGTTCCTGGATATAAGGGTAGTACAGGTTGGGCCTAGGTTGACGGTTAAAAGGCATAGCATCAGAAGGTCTACCCATCCAACTGCTATTCGTCATACCGGTATACACCTTCGGGTTGTTTTTATAACTTAAAGGGAATTGTGAAGGAAGGTGCTTTGGCTGCAAGACTTTAGGAGTCTTGGAGCCTGACTTTCTATAAGGTGGAGCATGCGGAACACCTCCAGATATACTTATGTTTCGAGAGGAGTTTTTCGTAACAAGTGATGGTTTGTTGGCATTCTTACTCTCAGCAGGCTTATTGAATACAAAGTATTCTTCCCCATCATTAGTCTCAACCCTGCGAAATTTGTTCATCGTGGTGAGGTTACTACGTTTGGGGGGAAATTTCTTAGAACAACTTGCAGAAGTTCTAGTCATTTTAACATCTTTCGATGAGGCTTTATTTACAGGGGTACTGGTATCTAAATCAGTTCCTAGTTCCATTGGCAGGTGTGGTTGTTGTGTAGTTTGCTGAATGCTAGTTTCAGCACTAGGTGTCTGTTGCTGTGCACGATCCTTATTTGGTAAATCAAAGCTAGAGGAGGTGACCAGGTTATTACTACGCATTATTCTGCGCTGACACGGTGTTTTATCCTGAGCTACGGTTATAGACTTATAACTGCTATTCAGTCTTAAGTGATCCTGACATTTAGTAAACTTACTAGCATCAAGGGAATTACTGAATTTAAAAATGATTGGGCAATTAGCCTGGTTAGACTTTTTACGAAGTCGTTTGCATTCACATGGAACACTAGCCATGCCGCAACAAATCAGGATTTTGTGTCTTACAGTTTTCAGGGGCAGAGAATCTGGGACGTTGTAAACTATAGCTTGGTGAGAAGAGGTTATACGCTTCATCACCTCCGTAGCCAAGCAGTCAATCAGATTTTCAGCTTTATTTAGGTTGTCTGGAGATATTTTAGGATGCCTTTCTAAAAGACAGGCTATTGGGTCTAAATTCAAAAGCTTATTTTGAGTTACATCCAGTAAACACTTAACCTGGCCAATATCAGAACGGCTCTCCGTGGTATTTGAGATTGGCAGTGACATACTATCAAACTGATCTAATTTTTTCTGAATTTCACTTACTTGCCTCTGCATATCTTTCAAAAGGAGGTTTAGTTTACAGAACTCAGAGTTCTCTAACAGAACATCTTTCACCTGTATCACAGGAGTGAGATCTGCACTCAAACCATTTTGAGAGCTAGTAGTTGATACTGTATTACACGGCGGTAATGCAGTTATAACCGAATTTAAGCCACTATCTAAAACAATTGTGTTTCTACGAACACGTTTTTTAGAGATTTGGACCATAATTTCAAGAATTATATGACAATAAGCAGTAAATAAATTTCAGAGCAAACACGTGCAAAATGTCACCAATTTCGAACGTACCGACTATTGAAGCCTAGTGTTTACTTTTTTAGTAGCTTTCTGCCGACGTGTGTCAGCCAATCCATTTCTTCTGACGGATGAAATAAATTAGATGCAGTGCAGAGAGTTGCATATGTGCATTGAGACAGGGTTGATTTTTAAGAGGACTCTATTGCCAGTTATAAGTCGCATGACACTGGTCCTTTTGGTACCACCTGGTTGTAATTAAGTTTCCACTGAGTCAGAAAAAGTTGAACCAAATAGTAAACTACATCATATATGGGCAGACAAACTCAAAATTTGATTTCATGTTTCTAGTCGAAAAACTGAAACTGATAGTCTTCACTTACACCGCGACTTATAAATAGTCTCGTTACTTCAACGTTCCCGTGGCTTGTTTAGCAAATAATGTATGTGAACAGGAAATATGAGTGCTGGTAAAAGGAAGTTCACTCAGCATATTATTCCAAACCCCCAGCCATTTAAGTCAAGGGAACATAATTCATTAGAGGAGAATGGCTTGCTGGATCAGGTATTTTGTTGTGAAAAAATCCTAATGGTTTGATTTTCGTTAGTGGTGTTCATCAACAGTTATGCCGATTGATTATGAGGAATACATCACGAAGAATAAAACCCTTATAGTCAACGATCTGTATCGTGAAACTATACTGTTTCCTCAGGATGACCTGAAAGTAAGTCCGAAACTTTTTCTCTTTATTCCATTTTCGGACTTACTTACCTATCGTCCTTCACCATCAGGTGTCAGAAGGAAAGGTCATCTTAGGTTATTTATAATTTTTAATGACACGAAATGATGAGGTGATATGTAGGATATATAACATATTCTCTCACCGTCATATGAATAATGTCGTTATTCGAGTTCATCTTCATTGTTATGTTTCAACCTAATATTGAAGCACAGTTAATTCTTAGGAATGTAGAGTTTGCTTCTGATGTTTCCTGATTCCACTTCAGTTATATGCACACTATATTTTTCACATTCTAATATCCACAGTAATTTTGAAATCGTCTGGTGTTACGTTTAGTGTGCATTAGAGTAACTTGTGTAGATACAAAAACATATGTGTATTCTTTTATATCGTGAAATGCTTTAATCACTTACTCCGCGAGCTCAGGGTTCTGTCATCACCTGCTTCTCTCAGTTCTACTAAACTCTCTTTTGGACATTTTGTCTCTACATATGTAGTAGTTTCTCTGCACTTCAGCTGTATTCTTTGTTTCTCCATCTTTAACTGAAACCAACGTCTGTTTTCAATCCTGTCATTGGCACTAGGAGACTAACTGAGTAGACATGCAAATAACAATATAGCTGCTTGAATTCATGTTTTTTTATAGTTCTGTTCAGCGTGCTGAACGAATGTGCGTTAATTTAGAAGTACAGTTTGCATACAGAGTTGAGCGAATTTAAACTACCATAGTCAAAACCACAGTGACCTTGGACAATCAGTCATTATCCAGATCCTAAAAAGTCGCATAATTGTTGAAAAATACACTAGAAATATTTTGCAAACTTGGTGTTTCACTGATTAGGATTAGCTTATGTGCTGTAAGGATGTCCTCCAGTCAATACACAGATGATCTATAGAGAAATCGTACCATGTGAGATTTACGCATTCATCCAGGTGATTGTAGGTCATGGTGATTTCAGATCCATTGATATTTCTGACACTAATCCTCAAGTTACGCTTAACTCTAACCGTAATCATAACCTATGATCCTAAATTTAACCCTAATCCTAGACTCTTAATCCTAAAAGCCGTAACCCTAAGTAACAACATACATATGCAGAAAAAGTGCCTTTTAAATGATTAGAATACTGTATTGATTCTCTTCAATTCCAAAAAAACTGGCATGACTTGATTTCCGATGATATTTCGTAGCACTTTCTGTATCTAGTCGGTTCTTGAAGGTCAACTTTTAAAAGACCTTGACTTTGACTATAAAACCTTAATTTCGCCCAGCATTGTACTTTTCCCGTAAACATATCTACCTTTTACTCTTGTGAAAAAACCACACTTTGAATAGTATAACAGAGATACTAGGAAACGCTTGGACTGTTAATTTTCCAAGTCGTTATATACGCGTTGGAGACATGAAAAGGTTGACTGCTTTCGATCATAGATGTCTGCGATCTCTGTCTCACGTTAGGTGGTTTCACAAGGTAAGTAATGTTGACGTTAGGCGTAGAGTGTTGGGCAAAGAGGGAAAATCAATCGACGAGGCTATAAAGTTACATAGACTAAGATGGCTAGGTCACGTGCTGCGCATGCCTAACCACCGCCTCCCCCGACGGGCATTGCTAGCTGATATAGGTGCAGGTTGGAAAAGAGCCAGTGGTGGCCAAACAAAAACATGGCCTCATTAATCCATGAAATCCTTGACAGTTAAACTGAGTCGGTCAGGTAGGGAGGGAGATGCAGACTCCCGGGTTGGGGCCCTCGGGACTCTAGGAATCAATGGCTGGAGACAATAGGTGAAATGGCTCAAACTCATCGTTGTCAATGGCCAGCGCACATGTATTCAGTCTCTGTAATCTTTCATATTCCTTTCTACCATTACCCATTCTGTTTCACTCTTATACTTGTCAGACTGTATTGATTCTCTTCACTCATCTTCTTGTCTACCTCTGGGTGGTATTTGGAACGTGGCAACTCGAACTGCTGCATTTCGGTGCCAAGCTCTATGTTGAATCCAGACAGACAGACAGAAGTCGTTATACTGATTACCTTCACGAGGAGTAATTGCCAAAACTCCTGGAATTGTATGTCATTGGTATTTATTTTTTAAAGTTAGAGAATGTTATGGGGAAATCATTTATCATTGTTCCAAGTACCTTCGAAAAAACGCTTTTCTTTTGTATGTATCTTTACTGTAACTAGAATATCATGACACATTCAAACTAATGTTGCAGATCGCTTACCACATGTAGTCCTTTTGATGGATTATAGTTCTGAAGTTGCACTTATTGTTGTTCAATTACGTAACAAAATATCGCCATACGTATAGAGATGTTTTGTGGAATGTATGCAGTTAGTGTATTTTAGAGGCTGCATGCTTGGGAGGAAAGGCTTTAAAAGTCGTCTGACCTGTTTGATATAGATCTAGGAGACATTTAAAGAGTTCTTCAAAATAGAAACAATAGAAAAAATAACTAGTTGTAGGTACTTTGGTGTTAATAAAAACATATTAAAATATTGGGGTTTTTACTATCCTTGAATGTATTGGCAAATGTGACCAGGTTTCATTTGGTTAATTTATTTTCAAATTAAATAAAGTTATCTTCTGAGCACTAAAATAACCCATTTTATTTCAGATTATCCGCATTCCTCATGGACACCAAATGCTTAACAATGGTGTTCCTGAAGTCGCACTAAAAAACAGTGTGTTTGTTTCAAACCCATTGGCTCGTCATGCAATCGCTTTTTTTGCAACTACGGAATGGATTTATGTTCAGCAAGTTTCTTCTGCTTATCGTGGGAGTTTTCATGTGTTTCCGTTTCTGAGGTTAGTCTTTGTTTTACACTTTACTCATAAAGTAACATTTCTTTGTTCATACCGGCGTTGTCATTAACTATACTATTCATTAGTAATTTGTATGATTTCCTGTTTCCACATGATAGCTTTATAGTTAGACTGCTAATATTGTGTTCTAATAAAGCAATGATTTTATTGGTTCCCTCTGTCGAGTCTAACTTTCATGATGAAAACAGTTTTTTTAATGAGACTTTATTGTCTAGTTGAACTGCTGGAGTTGTATATTACATAATTGTCTGGCGTGGTTAGCAATTTATTGGAATTTTAAACTGTTGGACGTTCAATTAACGCTAAACTTTGTACTTATTCATCAGGTCTGATAGTTTTTGACCCTGATATGTATTGGGTGGAAAGTCTTTTGATGACTCATCAACTTCATTTTAGTAGTACAGGAATATGTTGTTTAAGGTTCCGAATGTATTTCTTAAATCTTGATTTTTGGAAAACTTGAATATAACTAGTCCATATTCAATGTGGCTCATGCATTATTCCACCCGATTGCTTTTATTTACTAGCCTGACTAAGTGTGCTGTATGTTTCTATTGACACTCTGACTGGCTGACTGGTTTGAACATAGATCTTTTCACAGAAGTGGAACAGTTTGAGTTACCGCATTTCCTGCTTGTAGCACATGAAAGAAGATACAAGAGAAAAAGATATGCAAAAGAAAGATGATAAGCAAAAATGTGAGGAAGAAAGGATAGTAACCTCGAAAAACAAGTCTTATTGGATATGGATATGGGTATGACAAATCACTCACAGAGTGATGAATGCATCTTTGCCATCATCTAAAACGAGGATTTTGATCCATATCACCAATTTTCTGCAGCCTTCATTGGTTCTTATCATCTCGAGGACCCCAACCAGCCAACCAGTCTTCACGTCCCTACGTGGCTGGCTGGCTGGCTTAAACTAACTTTTATGGATTTCATTGACTAATTCCATGTTTTCGCTTGACCACCCACCACTAGCTAACTCTTTTCCAACTTGATCCATTTTATCAGTCAGCTAATATTGCGTGTCGAGGAAGGCGATGGACAGGCAGACGTAATAAATGTCCTAGCCATCTCAATCAATGCAGCTGCTTCACAACTTCGTCGATTGATTTTTCGTCCTAACCTAGCACTTGACTCAGGCCTAACCTTAATATTACTCACCTTATTGCATCTAATACGGGAGATAGGATGGAGGCACTTATGATCAAAGACAGTTAGCCGGCCTTTTCATCTATTCCACTTTCAATGGTCATATCTGATTGGCAGACAGCCATAAATGAGGACGAAGCGGACTGGTGAGCGGTACCTACGTCCTTTGATCGGTAACCAAGCGGATATCACGTCTACACCAGAGATGATGCAGGTTGGAAAATGCCATATGAGTCTTTTCTATCAATGCTTAGATTTCGTCAGCGGTCATCCCGTTGGTGCTGATGAAACTTACCAAATAAATGAAGTAGTTAACATACTCTACCACTTCACTGCTGTCTGTCTTTAAGCCAACTTGGAATTGATGTATTCCAGTCCTGCAGCATTATATTACATTGGACAGAAGCAAATCACATTCAAAGACTTCTGCTCAAAATGTTCAGAAAATTTGTCTGCAATTTGTCAACATTTTCAGCTGGGGGGTTATAACATATGCGTATTCTAGGTCAACAAGACGATTCTCTGGTAAAAAGTCAGTCCCCTAGTCGCTGAAGTCAGTTAGAGTTCAGTCTATCAGTAAATCTCTGATGAAATTAAACAAAATCGGGGACAATGGGGATCCTTGACGGGTACCACTGGTTTCATGATGTTATGATTTACATTTGAGTACTTCCTCCTACCGAATTTTTGCTTTGAACTAAAATAAATACTTTCTTTTCTGAGATAAAGTCCATTTTTTTCCCGTTTTCAAATGTTAGTTTCATAATAATCTGCTTTGTGAAAAGGAATTTGTTCTATTGAATAAAAAACTATCTTATGTGTGAATGCGGCGACTTATCACCTAACGTCAATGTTAAGATTATCGTTACGAATCGATTGACGATCAGGAAACATTAAATACTGTTCTCTGGAATTTCATATCATCTTTGTAGCAACTGTACTTTGTGTGATTCACATACTCGATTCTCATGTAAGCATGAAATGTTATTGAATTTTGAACAGAAAATACTCGAGTAAGTCATAAGCTATAATCAACTTTAAATCGAACTGTTGAGAAATAAACTAAGGTGTTTAAGATCTTGGTTGACGATATTACTCTTCAACTATTATTTCAATTATCATTTCGAAATAGTATAACGTAACGTAGTTTACTTACATATATTGAAAGCTACTGATCGTGCATGCCAAGGTTATTTAAGTATTACAATTAAATTCCTTTTAGTTGATTGCCAGAGACTTTTTCACGGTGTGTACTAGCTCTAAGTTCCATGGTGAAAAGGTTTCATTTATCCGTATCAATATGATAGTGCAATGCTTTCAATAGTTTTAGTGGTCAATTTTTACTAAGTTCTAGTTTACTGTTTCTATTTTTTATAGTGATATCAATGAGTTAGGTGGAACTTTGTCTCAATACTGGTTTTCAATTGATCAATCACTTGCTGCCAATAATAAAGATAGTCCTAGTCATATTGCAGACTCTGTTCCTGTACCAAATTCAGCTGGATCGAAATCACGAGCATCTAAGGAATTTCAAGTCCGTAGTCGCCGGTCAACTACTACGGGTAGTGGTGGTTTTGTAAAAAGTAATCAACCCGTTGGTGAAGCTTCTACCACTGGACTAGTTAACCGATTTACAGGCAGTTATCAACCTAAAGATCAAGTAAAATATGAAAAAGTCAACTGTGATAATGTATTATCCAGACGAGGCAGCAAAGCAAAGGATCAAATACAGTCTGATGATGAGACGGTTGTGGATAACAATAATCGTAACAGTGAAAACATATCAAGTGCGAGTTGTGATAGTCGACTGTCTGAAAGTGGAAAATCATCAGTAAGTGTTGGCTCTTTTTCTTCTTCTCGCCTACACATTTCATATCATTTTTTGTTTATTCCTTCATGTTCCCAGTAGAACATAGGGCTTCAAGCTAGAGGCTTGAAGTTTCGATAGTAGTGGTTTTTATTTTTACAGGATGTGGGGTTGCTAGCCTCATACCCAACCTTCGCTGTTTACTAGTCGTACTACTGGCTTAGCGAGGTAGAGGAAGGAGTGCCTTTTCGGCCAGGGATCGAACTCCAGGCCATGTGTGTGGTCGCCGAGCGTCCTAACCGCTGTGCCACATACGCAGTGGGGACTAAAAAAGAAATTAACTGGTCGTAATATTAAAACAATTAGTAATATATTCGGTGCATGGGAAAATGTCTTTTCGTGTAGAAAAGTTGATATCAGTTGGATATGTGATAACTGCGAAAATGTTTTCGCAAGGATGGTCTTTACAACTACTAGTTAGAATGCCTTTTTACTCAGGTTTAAATATTTCTGCACCAATCATGAATTATTTATATTTACAGTTAAAGTATAAGCTACGTCTTTGGCCATGAGTTTGAGAGACACAGGACGTGGTTTTTAAAAAATTGATAAGAATTCGCGGGAGGTCTATAGTTTAAGTCATAGTTTTGTCATAACTAACAACAAGAATTGGATTACATCATAGTCCGACAATTCGTGGTAGAGACATTCACTTACTGATAGTGCTGTTTCAAAACCAGACGTTATGCATTCTGGTTCATCGGATTTAAACCTAGCAACTAAACGGTGATTTGTTCGCCTTGTTATCTGGTGGCTTTGGGTGTGTACATTCTGGAGTACTTCCCAATTGGAGGGAAATAACCGTCCTCTTCTACTTAATTGGAGATGGTTCTTGCATCCGTTTCCGATTCTTTGCGAAATAATTCCTAAAATTGATCAAGTTTTTGTAAACTCGAAAACATAAATACACCTAAACAAAGTTTTATTCAAACCAGTTAGATATTGAGAATACGAGAGCTTATGGTGACTGTCTAGTTCTCACCCTGTATTCATAGCCTTTATCAGATAAAAACCTTATTCACTATCTTTACATGATGCTGAGTGTCCCTATATACGTGAAAGAGACAATTCGAATGTTTGGTTCCCATCACCGAGTTTATCAGCACAGAGAGCTCATTTAAAATGAGTCAGAATATCCAAACTTTCCTGTGTGAACTTGTTCTAATCACTCACAATCCTCAGAATGCAGTTCATGGTAATCACTCTGTTGCCTTGCTGGTTAGAATTAAAGTCAAAGCCAAATACAGTAGTCTTATAAGGTGATCACTTATTTTGATCTTGACGTCCGCATTACTACTTTAGTCTTCACACAGAATATAAGATGAAAATTCAATAAAAATCTATGAGCTGACATTAGTTAGAGAACCATTGGAAAACCTGGGAGTACTGGACAGCTGTTTCGCCCGTCCTAGTTTGGGACTCTTCAGCAGTACGCAACCACTGGGATTCGAACCTAGGACCTTCTGGTTACAAGGCAAACGAGCTCGTAGACCATTCAGTAGACAATCGGACCTGATTCAATGACTAGCCCATGAATTCTAACTTCTGCCTATTCACGACATAGCCAATGTTTTCGGCTAGTATTTGTCCTCACACCCGACCTGCTGCACCCTACTGGTCACGACTTCTCACTAGAACGCATATTTCTTAGTACTCATACTGTAGTAAGTTTAGATCTGAATTCTGTCTGTCTATCTGTTTTCACCGATATCCAGCAGTTCAAGTCGGTACATTCCATCCACGTAGAACACAAAACAAGACAAGAAAGTAGAACAAATGCAAAATAGAGATAGTAAACACGGATATGAGACAAAAGGAATAGTAATAATGAAGAACAATATAGTTTCATTGGATATTAGAAGTCACAAGGAGTGGATGCATCTGTTCCATCATTCAGAACGATTTTGATCCATATCACCAATTATCTCCAGGCTTCATTGATTTTCTACCGTCAGGAAGCCAGTCTACACCTTCCTACATGGCTGGTTGGCCTAAACTAACTGTTGTAGATTTCATTGACTGGTGGATCCATGTTTTGATTTGACCGCCACTAGCTCTTTTCCAGGCTGATCCTATGTCAGCTAACATTGCTCTTCGTCGAGGAAGGCGTTGACTAAACATGTATAGGTAACACATGTCCTAACCATCTTAGTCGATGTAGATCTGAATCAATTAAAAAATACCGTAATGATAATAAATATATATGTGTATATATGTGTAAAACTTGGGCACTGTGGTATTAAGTAATTCCATATTAGTTTGATTATTAAATGTATCACACAGTGAAACAGTATTGTATACTGGATGACGTTTCGAACACAATTTATTGTTCATAATCATATTAATTTTTGTCACACGACTTCGAGATTTGATTTTTATAGTTTTCTCTGTCTTCTCCTATTTGTTGTATGGGCAGTAGAATTTTCCACATATCTGGGACAGGTGTTGAATCATTCCCATTACATGTATTTGCAGTTGATATGTATGTTGATATATGTGAGAAGGCTCATTCTTGATAATTAGTAGTAATAGCCTGCTGATAATTGATGATGTGTATATTCATCTAATGACTCTCTCATAGGAAGTAACATTTGTCTGTTGTCTAAAATACATTCTTATTAAACATATTTTGTAGTATATATAGTATGTTCATTGATACATATATTTATTGTATTCATTCTTTCTTTATTTCTTAATTAATTAACAGTCCATCTATTTAGAATGTCAACTAGTTATATGTAATCGTGAAAAATATCAGAATTATTTACGTGTTCTTGAAGGATTACTTTCTTCTGGGAGTGGTGATAAATATGTTGCCAGTGCTAATACTACCACGAATACTACTACTAATAATAATAATACAAAGTCAATATTTGAAAAACACGAAATGAAGTGTTATTGTTTAAGACAAATACAAATTGAAGAATTATCTGAAAGTGATAGACAAAGGCACTTATCGAAGACCACTACTAGTAGTAGTAGTAGGACACAAAATATATCAGTTGGTCTACATGTTATAGCACCTTATAATTGGCGTGCCTCAAATATCTATTCCTCTCATGAAGATCATAATGTCATTTATCTAGGTGAGTTTGATCATTGTTTTATTTTTTTTCCTTCACGCTCCCCAGTGTAACATGGGACTTCAAGCTAGTGGCTTGAAGTTTCTGTAGCAGTGGTGTTTATTTTACAGGATGGGGTTGCTAGTCAGCCTCATGCCCAACCTTTACTCTTTATCAGCATTATTTCTGGCTTAGCGAATTAAAGGAGTGCCTTGTCGACCGGGGATCGAACCCTGGACCATGTGCATGGTCGGCGAGCGTCCTAACCTCTATGCCACCGACGCATTGTTCTGTCATTTCTCATCATTACTATGATGTGATCTATTCCTTTTGATCAATTGTCAAGTGTTGACTTGCAGGGATTTGATTGATTGGTTACAGGATTAATCACGAACTGACACTAGTCAGCAGCGAACTATTGGGAAACCAGCAATGGACAGCCAGCTGTTTCGTCACTCTAGTTTGGGACTCTTCGTAGTATGCACTAACCGCTAGGGTTGAAGCCCAGGGCTTTCTGGTCAAGAGGAGAGCTCGTAGACCATTCACACCTTATCGAATGTCCAGTCCATGAATTCCAGCTCCTGCTCATTCGGGATATATATACATTTATATCTTGATCATAAGGTTGCTGCTACCTTGAGTTGGTGGTTGGGTTTGCATATCACGATGAAACAACAAGCTGCACTGGTTGGAAACAATGTTCCTGCAGGTCCTTCCACACCACAAAGGTTGTTAGGATTGCGATTAGACTAAAAGCAGTTACCAGCATTGTGTAGGAATCTTTCTTACACTATGCTGGGGGTTTGAGGGCGAAGTCGTACTGCTGGGGAACAGGGGTGTAACAGCAGTGAGGTGTTTCCCTCAGATGACCAGCACGACAGCTATGCTGTCTTTCCACTCTGGAGAGAGGAGGTTAGAAAAAGTCGACCCCAAAAATTGTATATCCTGATTTACCCTACGGTGGTCCGCAACCGGCGGTAAGTTTACTAATACGCAATCAATCCCAGAAATCAGTTCATACAGGCCGTGTGTGACCGGCCTCAAGCAGTTGTCCCCTGGGCTCTGCGGTCACGCAGCATTTTCTGTTTCAGGTACCCGAAGAATCAATCAACTTCCATGGTGTGGGCGACCGGGAAGTAACAACCTCCCACACACTTCCAAGAGCACACGAAGCCTTCCTGAGCATCATTCTCATGTTTTGCGGTCGAACCCCAGTGAGTGCGTACTTATGAGGAGTTTCAAACTAGGACGGAAGAGCTGTCCAGTACTGTTTGCTGGTTTACACTGTCATCAGTGAGTAAATGTTGTCTTACGTCACTTAGTGTGAATTCCTCTGGCGACAACTTCTCACTAGAACACTGGGGAACTTCAAGCCCCCACAAACTAACTATCTGATGCTCGTTAGTGATTAGCTGGCTACATGACGAAGTTATCTGGAGTTCTAGTGAGTTGTGACGAGTGGACTCTACCACAGCAGGTGTTGGGAGTGAGGATAAGCGCTCTCCAGAGATGATATTGGCTGGTGCCAGTTGCGTTGAAATCACAAATTAATCGAAGTTGGAATTTATAGGCTGTTGAGAATTGCGCCTCAGTGACTGGGATGGCCTAAAAGCTTACCTTGGAACCATCAGGTTCTGGGTTCAAACCCCCCCTGAACTATGACGAAATTTGCAGGCATTTCTGAAGCTTTATTGTCCTTTATCGTAAGACTATGTACACATTTATGTTATGTTTTTTTTCTAAATACTTTTTATTATTCTTTTGTGTAGATACAATTGATTCAGTACGATCGATTGGTGATTATTGGATACGTTTAGAAAGGTTATTACCGTCTACGTCATCCTCCTCTTCCTCCTCCTCACCGTCATCTGCTCAGCTGTCTAGTAACAAAGCAAAAGATGAAATATCAACATCTAATGGTTTGCTAAATGATGAAATATTCATTTATTTCGATCCGACAATGAATGATGCAGTAGAAAAACGTCAGATATGGTTAAATACAATTGAGTTAGCTTTGAAATTGGAAAGTTATAAACGACATATGGGATATCATCATCATCATCATCACCATCAACAACATCCCCACTTTTCTTCTGATAATATAGATGCAAGCGGGAGTAAATTCGATTTATTCAAAAGATCTAATAATGCTGATTCAGTGCGTAGTGCATTACAACGGGTAAGCTGTTGTTTCATTTATTATCATCTAGTCTTTTTCTGGGCTGATATCTTGAGATTTCATGGGGGATTTCATCATGAGCTGACATCAGTTAGAGAACCATTGGAAAACCTGGGAGTACTAGACAACTGCTTTGTCAGCCTTGTTCGAAACTCTTCAACAGTACGCACCCGCACTGCGGGGTTCGAACCCAGGACCTTCTGGTTACAAGGCGAGGGAGGTCGTAGACCATTCAGTAGCCACTGGGACCCGACCTAATGGCCCATGAACCCAGAAGGTCCTGGATTCGAATCCCGCAGTGTGGGTGCGTACTGTTGAAGAGTTTCAAACTAGGCTGACAAAGCAGCTGTCCAGTACTCCCAGGTTTTCCAATGGTTCTCTAACTAGTGTCAACTCCTGATGAAATCCTGTAACCAATCAAATCCCTACAAACCAACACCTGGTGATAATTGTGTTTTGTTTGAAGAGTACGACAAGCATTCGGTCGTTTCACTTGTAGTGTGGGCGGGGGCGTATATGACTCAATGGTAGAATGCTTACCAATCACGCATGTGGTCCGGGGTTGGATTCTCGGCTGATGCACTCTTAAACATCCCCTTGTTTACTTGACCGATAGTAAGCTAGGAAAAAGAGGCAAATGTGGGCGTGCAGCTAGCAATTCTACGCTACTGAAAATTCAAAGCATGGAAAGCTAATAATAAGGGGTTGAGCAATATTAAGGTTAGGCATCGAGTGCTAGTTGAGGGGGGATCAATAGACGAGGGTGTGAAGCTACATCGACTGATATGGTTAGGACATGTGTTGCGCATGCATGCCTAGCCATCGTCTTCCTCTACTGACAATGTTAGCTGACATAATGAAAGGTTGGAAAAGAGTCAGTGGTGGTCAAACCAAAATATGGCTTCATCAGTCAATCAAATCCATAACAGTAAGTTTAAGCCCAGCAACCAACCATGTAGGAAGGTGTAGACTGGCTTCCTGACTGGTAGGGGTCCTCGGTACGGTAAAAAAAGCCAATAAAGGCTGAAGCCGATTGGTGATATGGCTCAAAATCGTTCTGAATGATGGAACAGATGCATCCTCTTCTTGTGATTTATAATACCCAATGAAACTATGTTGTTCTTCGTTATTACTATTCCTTTTGTCTCATATCCCTGTCTCCTGTCGGTATTATGCATTTGTTCTACTTTCTTATCTTGTTTAGCATTCTACGTGGATGGAGTGTGGCGACTCGAACTGAAAAACATCAGTTCAGAGTTCTATGTTGACACCACTTAGTCTTGAATCGGTAAACAAAGCCTCAGTGAATAGCCTCTCTGTCTCTCCACCTAACCATATTCTACCACAGTGCCTAAGTCCTACACTTACAGATGTAACGCAGTTCAAGAATATAATACTACCGGTAATATTCACCCCAGAAAAAAGTTTTTGATGCAAAATTTTATTCAAAAATCCTAAAGACAAATAATTTGTTATGAAACCACAATAGGAACGGACTACGACGCTTCAGTTGAAGGGGATATACAATATAAAGCCAATCATCTCTTGCCATTCAACTAAATGAGTTAAAGTCCATTACCTCAACCTTTTGTTAACTGATAGACAGTTTCTATCATTCAGGGTCACCCGTGAAATAACTATTTTTACCATCAATTACATTGGGCTTCAAAGTATTTATATTACTTGGTTCTATCTCCCTCGTTTGGTGGTATAATAATGTGAGAAATAGTGAGGTTAGGCGTCGAGTGCTAGGTAAGAAGTGGAAATCACTCGACGAGGCTGTGAAACAGCTGCATCGATTGAAGGAGATGGTCAGGACATGTGTTGCGCATGAATATGTAGCCACTGCCTTCCTGGACAGGAAATGTTAGTTGACATAGGATCAGATTGGAAAAGAGCTAGTGGTGGGCAAACAAAAACATGGCTTTATCAGTCGATGAAATCCACAACAGTTAGTTTAATCCACGTAGGGAAATGCGTTGAATCCAGTTTATAGTTTATGTGTATTTATTTACTATTAATAGTTTCTCTGAAAAAAAGCAACAACTTATAATACCTTTTTTTTCTCTCATCAGTATGCTCAGGAAACTGAATTGTTTGTGATACGTCAACGTCAGAAAGGACGAATAAAAGTGGTAACACTTTTTCCAGATGTGAGAGTAAGTTATGATTATTTGCTTTCTTTGTATTTCATTCCATTCAATTGTAATCATCTATGTAATAGCCTATTATTATTATTATTATCTCATATGACTTTATGAGTAAGTTTTTTTGGAGGGGTGGGATTCTGTTTATATATATATATATATATATATATGAAAAAATTTTGGAAGATCTTCAGTAACCGGTTTCCGTACTTACCCTCACCACAGGTGAGCACCATTAAAAGTAGTCGAAAAGTTCCCATTTGAATGCTTCCGTGAAGGTGAGATATTATTATCACTCCCTTGGGTTCTGAGTGGAACATAAAGCTTCAACAAAACATCTCCACTTTGTTTTATTTTCGGTTATCCTCCTCAGCTGGACTCATTATTGTCTATAAGCTTTCACCCCATCCTCACACGATCTCCTTCATGATAACCTCGAACACACGCCCAACTCATCGTTTCCCACTCGGGTTTCACTCAAGTGATGGTCTGCCTTAGGCGCGACGTCATTCAACGGTCTCTTCAGTGTATGCCCGTCTCCATCTTCATTTTCTCCTACATATTTGTTAAGCAGTTGGCGTTTGGTTGGTTTGTTGCCGATCAGAGTTTCATGTTGCTAATTCTTTGTGGCCGGTCAGCCAGCAATATGATCTTCAGTATGGAGCGAAGACAGATGTTGATGGAAGTCTGCAACCTGTTGGAAATCCTTTCCGTTATACGCCAAGGTTCTGACCTGTATAGAAGGACTGACTTCACAATAGTGTTAAAAATCCTAACCTTGCTGTTGTTTATGCTGAATGCAGAAGATTTTCAAATTGGCTTCAGAGTGATGAAGGTGTACCTCACTTTTTCTATTCCACCTCTGACATCTTCATGTGTGGTGAATGCATGTAGTTGAAATGACGCTTCCTAGATAAGTGAAGGAAGTGATCCCTCCCGATGATGGTGATTGGTGCTGGTTGTTGTTGTTGGTGGTGGTGGTGGTGGTGGTGGTTGGTTATCTTCATGATCTCCGTTTTCTCTATATTCGTGTAAGTGAGGTGGTAAGGTGAAATATCCAGTCCTATAGCGAAAGCCAGAAAGGTCTATGCCAATTTAAGTTACCTTTTACGATCATCACGATGCTAGTCTTTCCATAGAAGGCTGTGTTTAAAGCGCTTCGGTGCATGTAATCTTGCTCTCCAACTGTTGAGAATCCAACATCTCATTGTTGAGAATGTGATCGTTGTGTATTGGATGAGTGCTATTTTCGTAGAGTTGCTTGCGTCCTCTGTCGACCTCATTTTACTGTCTGTCTTATTTTTGAAAGTGATGTTAAGTAATTAAGGTTTTTTTTGGACGTACTTAATGGCTGTACTTACCTGCTTCATTTTTTTTAATTCTCCAACTGATTTTTCTCTTTTCTATGTTGTTTTATTATTTTGTGATAATGCCACGTGCCAGGCGATCCACAACGGAAAACTCAGCGAAGCCTTTAAAATGAAGACAGGAGCAAGACAAGCTTGGCTGTTATCACCCACAGTGATATTCTTAATTGTGGTGGACTGGATTATGCGTCACACTGTGAGAAGAGAGTAGTCAGCGGTATGTTGGGCCGACAAGAAGATTATAGAAGACGTGGATTTCGCGCGCGGATGATTTATGCTTGATGTCACACCCTCTACCAAATATACTATGAGATCGAATCACTAGCCTTTATTTCAATCACCTGTTAGATAAATTATTCGATTAATTGTTTTCATCAAGTATTGGTTCGTAGGGATTTGATTTGATTGGTTGGAAGATTTCATCATCGCTTAGAGGACCATTAGAAAACCACCAGGAAGTACTGGGCAGCCAGGTATTTCGTCCTATTGCTTAAGATTATTCATCAGTACGCACCCACCGCCAGCGGGGTTCGAACCCAGGACCTTCCGGTTACAAGGCGAGTGCGCTCGTAGATCATTCAGTAGTCACTGGAACCCGATCCAATGGCCAGTCAGTCCATGAATTCTAACTTCTGCCAATAGTTCACGACATTGCGCAACCACTTTGCAATGTTCTCAGCTTCAACCTGCTGTACCCTATTGATCACGGCTTCCCACTAGAACTCCAGGTAACTGCCTATCTGAATAGGACCAGTCGCTAGTAAGCATTAGATAACTTGAAAATCCCTTATCCCCATTTAAAAAATATCTTTATGCCTTAATTTTATCATAGATACGTCAGTATAAAGGGAAAAATTTAATACGTGACCACGTTGGAAATAGTTTAACTCAGATGAATTCAAAGGATGCATTATCACCGTTTCCTGATCGGATGGCGGAATTGTGTAGTCGACGATTTTTGGCAACATGCTTAAATCTACATTCAAAAATTCAAGCCAATATAGATGTATCGGGTAGTACATCTTCTCATATCGAAAATGTGAGTTAATAAAAGTCTTCTAATATTAAGTTATTTCTGTTTAGCGTTTTTGAATTGAATTTTTTTTATTGAAGTATATAAACATTTACAAACAGTTATACTATCATTAACATCTGTTAGATATTGTATTACCTTACTTCCGTAAATAATTGAATAATAGAAGATAATTCAGCGAAGGAAATTCTCTTTATCGACACGCTGTATAGACAAAGAGATTGAGTGGCAACGAGGTCGCCATTAGGTCCTTGGGCAAGTCTAGAGAATAGCATGTTACGGCTTACTATCGACAGTTTCCATTTGTACCACAGGCACATGTATGATGCTTTCATCATATGTGATGAGAATACTAACATTGAAATGATAATGGAAGAGTTCAACGGCTGCTATCATGCCATCCAAATGCATGTCGGAATTCCATATGTTGGATGTTTTTCTAAAATGGAGATCTGATGGTTCTCTTCAGATATCGATCTCCAGGAAACCAACATGGAATGGTCAATACACGAATTTTCATAGTTGGGTCCCCTTGAGAGGAAGGAGGAATCTGACCTTCTCCTTATCCTCAAGAATAAGAAGGATATGTACCAGTGATATAGTCGGTGGGGGACTGGAGCGACTCAAACGAGCCCTCGTGGAAAATGGATATCCTCGAAGATTCATCGAGAAAAACATGAAGGTAAAACCGAAACCCAAAAGAACCCAGACTGTGCCGAAGAAACTGTTATTTATAAACGTCGAATTTAAAGGTAATACGGCTGCTCAGATCTTGAAGAACCGCTTATGCAGATCACTGGGAAAGACCGTCTTCGCGGCTGAGTTACGCTTCAATTTTTAGAGCCGACAAATGACCGGTGGATGTGTGAAGGACAAACTACCGCTTTGGATGGGTCACTTCAATTTGTGTTTATAAAATCACTTGCTTGTGTGGAGCTAGTTATATTGGCTGGACAAAGCGCACACTTTCCAAACGCATCTCTGAACATTATCTCGCATCGTTAGTGAAAGACCAATGCATGTCTGTAAGTATGGTATAAACTTTGCGCCATCTAAGTGCAAGGCACAGTTACAAGATCGACAGGAGCCTGTACATGCACTCACTCTTGCAGGTAAACCGCTTGAAGTTGTTGATAAGTTTGTGGGTAGTTTTGTGAGTGCTGGTGGAGGTTTGATGGATGAGATTCCTAACTGTACCATGAAAGCACACCTCAACTTGAGCCACCTCTGGTGCCGTTGTGACGTTAACCTGGCTGTCAAATGTCGTGTTTACAACGCTTCCATGCACACTGTTTCTTTATATGCCTATGAGACCTTGCCTTTCTGAGCTGAGGGCGTCCGACGACTCTGCGTGTTCGATCACCATTGTTTCCGTAGAATTGTTTGTCTTCGATGGCATCATCATGTGAGTAATTGTGAGGTCTGGCAGGTTTTTTTGTCTACAGTGGAAATTGCCATTCGTTGAGTGTTGCCATCTGGAAATACTGGCTTCAGTGTCTGGGACATGTGCTACGAACGTCATCCCAGAGACTTCCGTACCGGTCTCTGTTCGCTAGCCGAGGGACGGGATGGTAAAAGTGGAGAGGCGGTCAGCCCATGACGTGAAGTCGTGGGGTGAAGGATATTTGTGATGGGTTAGAATCGGTTGGTGTGTCATAACTCCCTGATTGCGGTCTGAGACATAGCTCGAAACTCTATTGAATATGTCCAAGAATCTCAATCAATGGTGAACATACTGCAATTTCCTTCTTTCTTCCGCTTCTGACAATAATTCAGCGAATGCTGTTTGGTCTTGTTAAATATAACTGGTTTCTTTCCAGTTGAAGTCCTTTATACCTCCTCTACCTATTTTTTTCCGTTTTATTATTATTATTATTATTATTTGACGCATCTTCTTGGTGCCATGTTGTACCAGGCTTTTTGTTTTAAATAAGTAAATAGAATCTTCTCTCACGCCTGTCATTGGCCATATGTATACATACATACATACTTTTCGTCTCACGTTGTTGCGTGTTCTCGCTTAAGTAGAGCGAGTGGGCTTGTGAAACAGGTAGCTGATGTCAAAGAATGATGGGCAAGTAGCCTAGTGATATGGCATGATCACTGACCGTGTCCAGCTTCAACGTCCCTATTTCAACTCCAACGTATTGCAAAAAGACAAAAGTGACAACATAGTAACAGTTATGTAGAACAGTGGTAGTAGTAGTAGTTGTTGTTGTTAAAACTTGAAGTCCCGACTAATCTAAGGTAGAAGACAGTTTATCTGACATAATTGTAGGTTGCTCTCCTCAGTTTTTATTTTCTGAAACGTCTTTTCTCTAATGTCTTGTATTTTTTATTGTGTGTGTGTAGGTGTGTCGGTGTGTGTGCGAGCCGTTTGCATGACTCTTAGCAAACAGACTAATGTTTTCTTTCCTTTATTCTCACAATCTCCCCCTCTGTCTTCTCTCTTTGAAATCGATTGTAACGCTACATAACCCTTTAGTGAATGGAGCTAATTATAATCTATGGAGTTCGATTGGCTCATTTTCGAACAGACAGTCACGTCATTTCTCCTATTCTGGGATTCATTAATAGTACACGCTGATTTATTTACTATTCAACTACTGCATTGAAGTCCAAACGACTTGACTCCTTACACAGTTGTAGGTTCACATTACCGAATACGCTCAAGTTAGAATGAAACATTTTGTCAACTCTCCTTCGTTTTTGGTAGTTCTCTGACTGACGTCGATTCATGAAAAATCCTTCTTTAATATCAATCAAATCTCTGTCTGTCTGTTTTCGACATAGAACTTTGCACCAATGTGCACCAGTTCAAGTCGCCACACTCCCTCCTTGTAGCACACAAAGCAAGAGAAGAAAGTAGAAGAAATGCATAATACAGGTAGTAAACAGAGGTGTGAGACAAAGGAATAATAATAACGCAAAACAAAACAGTTTCATTGGAAATCATAGGTCACAAGGAGTGGATGCATCCTCGACAGTCATTGAGAATGATTTTGAGCCATTTCACCAATTGTTTCCAGCCTTCATTGGTTTTTACCTCCCCGAGGACCCCAACCAGTCAGGAAGAGCCAGTCTACACCTTCCTATATGGCTGGTTGGCTTAAACTAACTGTTGTAGATTTCATTGACTGGTGGAGCCATGTTTTGGTTTGACCACCACTAGCTAACTCTTTTCCAGCCTGACCCCATGTCAGCCAACATTGCCCATTGTCGAGGAAGACGATGACTAGGCATACATAACACATGGCCTTACCATCTCAATCGATGTAACTTCATAGCCTTCTCTGTTGATTTCCTCTCCTTACCTAGTACTTGACTGACGCCTAAACCCAATATTGCTCACCTTATTATACCACTTCGCATGGGAGATAGAGCGCAGATACCTATGATCAAAGACAGCCGATCAGCGTTTTCATGTCTTCCACTTTCAGTGGCCAGGTCTCAACAACAGACATAAAGGAGGACGGAGCGGACTGATGAGCAGTACACACGTCCTTTGTTCGATAGCCAGCCAGATATCACGTCTACTAAGCCAGAGACGGCGTAAACTGGCATATCCGAAACTAGCCCTCTGTATCCGTGCTGAAATTTCGTCGGAAATCAACCCGTTGGCACTGGCTGATGGTACTTCCTAAATAAGTGAAGCGGTCAATGTGCTCTACCACTTCACTCCCTATTTCTAAACTAGGAGTCAGTGTAGTCCAGTCCAGTCCTGTAACATCATCTTACATTTGACATCAGGAGAGAATCGCATGCCAAACATTCGTAGATTGCTGCTCAAGATGTTCAGAAGACTCTGCATTTTGTCTCTCTACTTGTCTATCACCCGTATAAACTATTAATTTATTCATATATTGATGTGGTCTTCTGGCTGGAGTTTTTGACTTTCATACAAAAGGTTGTAGACTGAAGATTATCCTCCAATCATTTCGGTATAAACGAAGTGGTTAATATTGTCATATCATGAATAAAGCAAGCCTCACAATCTTCTCTGTTGTTCTATGATAATTACTACTTGTCGACCGAGAGGTTCTATGGTGATGTTCGATCGTGAAGGGAATGCCGAGAAAATACATCATACTGATCAAGGCACTCACTCTACTCGAACTCATGAAACCAGCCAGGTGAGAGCTTACGGGGAGTTGTCATCTGAAGTGGTGACGACTAGTGGTGTCCGCCAGGGATGCGCACTATCCTCATTTTTATTCAGTTTCGTCAAGATGTACTAATGGACTTAACCCTAACTGACTTCATCGACTCAGGGATTGACTTGTTACCGCCATGGAATAACCATCTCGTTGACTTAGAATATGCAGACAACATAGTCTTTCTTCTTAGATGGAGACGCTGATAAATGCAGAATCTTCTGTGCACGATGGGGAGGGGGGGATTTTTTAGATGTTTGGCGTGTGGTTCGCTCCTGTTAAATGTAAAATGTTGTCACAGGACTGGACTATATTAACTTACTCCTAGCTTAAAGATAGGGAGTGGAGTGTGTTGATCACCTCATTTATTTGGGAAGTTGCATGAGCCAGCCCCAGTGGGTTGATCGCAGACGAAATCTCAGCACAGATATGGAAGACTCGTCTAGCATTTGACAACTTACGCCATCTCTCGCTTATTCGTGATATCCGGTTGGATATCGACCAAAGCGCATGTGTACTACTCAGCAGCACTTTGCTCCCGCGTTCTTTGTGGCTGTCAGTGAGACATGGCATTCGGGGGTGGAAGACATGAAAACACCAACTAGCTGTCTTCGATCTTGTGTGTCTGCGATGTATCTCCAGTGTGAGGTGGTATAATAAGGTGAATAATATTAAGGTTAGGCTTCGATCGTGTACTAGGTATAGAGAGAAAACCAATTGACGAGGTTGTGAAGCATCTGCATCGATTGAATGAATATGGTTAGGATATGTGTTATGCATGCATGTCTGGCCATTGGTCTCCTTCCTTGACACACAATCTTAGCTGACTGACATAGGATGGATCAGGTTGAAAAAGAGAGCTGCTAGTGGTTGGTGGTCAAACGAAAACATATGACTTCATCAGTCAATGAAATACACAACAGTTAGTTTAGGCCAGTCAGCCAGCCACATAGAGAGGTTTAGACTGGCTAACTGGCTGGTTGGTGGTTGGGGTCCTCGGGATGATAAAACCAATGGTGGCTGGATATGGCTGAAAATCACTCTCAATGGCACAGATGCATCCACACTTTGTAATTTGTCATATCCAATAAAACCCTCTTTTTTAATTATTATTATTATTATTATTATTATTATTATCTCCCTTTGCCTCTGTTCTCTAGCTTTGTGTGCTATAAGGCGGAAGTGTGTCGAGTTGAATTGGTGCACATCTATGCAAAGTAGTTCTATGTTGAAACTTGTTCATTTTTCTTATTGTTTTTTCCTCTGAAAATTTTTTTTCTGTTTTGTTTTAGCCTGAACCATTTTTCGTCACCATGTTTTTAGTCGATGTAAATGATGGCTGTCGTGTTAGTGAAGATTTTTATTGGAATCCTAATTCGCCTATTATTGATTCTATGCTGCCTTCTGATCAATTCAGATCCTTACCATGGTTATCATCGTCGTCGTCGTCGTCATCATCACCACCAGCAAATAACACAGTGTCTGATATAAAGAGCCAATCGACGGATATCAATGATGTGAATTCATTAAATCATAATTCATCTCATGCACACAATAATACTACAACACCTGGTAGTCGAATCCGTGGACATGCACCACCTCCACCACAGAATAATTTAATTTCACCATATGGTACACAGAATTCAATTTCTTTGGATTGTTTGCATAAATGTCGTTCAGTAAGTTTGTATATTTATTAAACTATGCATTTATAACAATATATTGTGTCTGATATTTTATTGGCTCGTATGACTTTATTTGACCTTATAGAGATTAATTGCTGCACAGTTCTTGTTTGGGTAGATGTCTGCATGTGTGTGTGTGTGTGTGTGTGTAAAAATATGCTAAATATTTATATTGCATGTATTTCATGTAGTCTTATGTTGTTTCGAGCTGCCTAGTATATTTCTGACTAAATTAAATCGGTTTACATCTGGTTTAATTTGAAAAAAAAAATAATAATTTAAAATTCGCTAACACTTTAGAATTTAAAATATGATGTTGAGACTTTTATTCAATAGTACCTTCGCCTCTTGTTTCACCTTCTAGTAGAGGTTTTGTAGTACAGACCATGGAAATCCTATCTTGTAGTGGAATTCTAACCTGCTATGCGCAAGATCTGACTGAATAATTCAACCTAGGTTCATGGCTTCTAAGGCTGTTGTTGCTGCTGCTGTCTGTGTTGTAAACTTATGCCGGTTAGAGGCTATGGACAAGAAGTATGTGTACTTAGGTTTCACTGCTCAATTAGCGCTTATCATCAGATGTATCTACAAACTCAAAGGAAATGATGCCTACTCGGAGATTCTAACTTGCATCACTCAGTACGCTATTTAGAGATGTGAGGCAATATAGGACTGTGACAGACACATTGATTGATCGTTAAGGTGTATGTGTATCTAATACCATTTATGTATTCCTTAGTTTTGGTGCTGACTGAATTTTATTGTGTAGAGTATTATATACTACTTTGAGTAGACCTGAGCGTTATTCACTGCTCTTTTTTAAAATAAAGAATATTGAAGGCATATAATCCACCTTGAAGAATAGGGTTTAACATTTGAATCGTTAATAAAAAAAATTATTCAAGTATTGGTTTCTAGGGATTTGATTGATTGGTTACAGGATTTCATCATAAACTGACATCAGTTAGAGAACCATTGGAAAACCAGTACCGGAGTACTGGACAGCCAAATGTTTCGTCTTGGTTTGTGACTATTCCACAGTACCCACCGCCAGCGTTGTAACCCAGGACCTTCTGGGACCACTGGGACCCGACCCAATGGCCAGCCAGTTCATGGATTCTAACTTCTGCCATAATTCACGACATAGAGCGACCACTAGTCAATGTCATCTGTGGAGAGTATTCGTCGTCACACCCGACTTGCTGCACTGGGATCGGCTCCGAGTGGCTACTGAATGGTCTACGAGCTCGTCTTATAACCAGAAGGTCCTGGGTTCGAACCCCGCTGGCGATGGGTGCGTACCGACGAAGGGTCCCAAACTAGGATGAAACATCTTTCCAGTACTCTCCGGTGGCTTTTCAATGATCCTCTAACCGATGTCAGCTCATGATGGAATCCTGTAGCCAAAAAGAAATTATTTTTGTCAAGTAGCATTTACAGATTCAAACAAACAATTTAGATGGTAGGATTAGGGTTATGTGTCTAAAAATGTCTGACGTCTCAGTAGATATGCACTGTCCAGTAGCATAGTGCACATTCAGCTGCACACTATCCGATTAGTGGATATGTGGTGAGAGCTGGCTGCTAGCCAAATTGGTAGACAGTAATTTACGTCAATGTTTATGTCCTCACTATTGGTCATGGGAAAATATGAACAAAGACTGATTCAATAACCAATGACAGCAGACTTTAATTAGGCGGATACAGTTAACATATAGATAATCTGACATTCAAGAAACAGCCACAAAGAGATGAAAGATTAACTTTCAGTGAGAAACAACTAATCAGAATACTGTGTTTTTCTGCGGACAATAATCTATAATAATGTACATGAAAAGCTTTAAATATGTGTTGATTTCTACAATAAACGATCTGTTACCTGGCCCTTGTCTTCTGTTGTTGCAGACATACTTTCCATGATATTCCTTTACTGAACTTCAACAAACCTTTTGATGAAATCAAATTCAACTTTTTGCTAAGTACAACATGTCTAGTGAAATCCTATTGTGGTTTTGCTTTGTGTTTTAACTTTATTCAGAATAAAAGTAATTTTTGATTTTCCTTTACTTACATAAAGAGCTATGTAAGCAACTTTCATGTTCGTGTAACTTCTGTGGCTTTATGAAGATGTTTTAAGGCGTAAGGGAAAATCTTAAACTGTTAGTTTTTATGTTGACCCCAACAAGAAACGAAGTGACTGCAGGATTTTTAATTGTCCAGATGTTTAATGTGGTAGAACTTGATAAACCTCATACATTTATTCCCCTTTATGAAATGGAATAAAGCAAGAACAACATCGGTTTGTGCAGAATAAAGTAGTAGTACCATCATTGTTTATTTCGTTGGCAACTTATCAGCTGCTTACAGCCTAAAGACATTATTATTAGGTTTATGTACAGAAACAATTTTAACTTAGTTGCAATACAGAGAGTTCATTTTTACTGATTAATAGTCCCCTTTTAAATTTTTTCAAAGAATATTCTTTTCGATAATTTCATCATCAGGTTCAACAGTTATATACACATTATAGTGAATGAATGAATGAATTAGTGTTACTAACAACATTAATGTTTAAATAACATCGAATCAATAATAATAATAATATCAATTGATTACAGTTCCATGACATCAACATAACAATACATTGAATATCAAAAAAATTAGGAAAGATAATAATACAAATTCATGAAATTATAGTCTCCACTGAAGGCCGGCCAGGGCACTAGTAGTGGGTGGACTTGCTTCTTCTGCAAACAAAGCACTGGTTATTTAAGGTGAAACGCGATAACACCTGCTGTTTGGAGTATGCGGTATCTGGATGTTTTTGGCAATTTATTTGCTACTTGGTAGAAGAGCATACTCCTGATTTTGTGAACATGTATCAAAAAGCCTACGTCTCAAGAGAACAAATTATTTCAACTGTGTCATTGCCGAGCATCTCCTTGACACGAGTAATGAGGTGAACGTAACAAGATCCTTCAAAATTGTCAATTGTCAAAAGATTTCGATTCTCCTCAAGAGTTGCTGAAGCAATCTCCATCAAGCGCCTGAAATCCGATTTGTGCGTTGTTCAGAAGGAAGCTGTTATCAGTTTTCCCTTGCCTTGCTACCCAAGATGTTTTCTTTCTTTTTCATTTGGTTACGCAACGCCGAAAATTCCATTGTCTATGATTATTATTGCTTGAAATAAAGTGATTATTATTAATTAACATTGTTGTATATGTTGACATTTTGTTTAAAAATGAACTCTTTGTGTTACAACTAAGTTAAGATTTTTTTTGTACATAAACTTAATAATGACTCTAGGCTGTATGCAGCAGCTGATGAGAAGCCTGAGAGAGTAAACTCCTAGCTTAGTGATAGGGAGTGAAGTGATAGAACATGTTGACCACTTCACCTATTTAGGAAGTTGTATCAGCACCAACGGACTGATTGGCGACGAAATCTCAGCACGGATCCAAAAAGCTCGAGCTGCTTTCGCTGACTTACACCACCTCTGGCGTAGGCGTGACATTCGGCTATCAACCAAGGGATGTGTGTACTGCTCAGCAGTTCGCTCCGTCCGTCCTTCTCTATGGCTCTGAAACATGGCCAATACGAGTTGAAGACATGGAAAGGTTGACTGCTTTCGATCACAGATGTCTACGATCTCTTTCTCATGTTATGTGGTATAATAAGGCAAGTAATGTTGACGTTAGACGTAGAGTGTTGGGCAAAGAAGGAAAATCAATCGACGAGGCTATAAAGTTACACAGATTGAGATGGTTAGGTCAGGTGGTGCGCATGCCTAACCACCGCCTCCCCCGACGGGCATTGTTAGCTGATATAGGTTCAGGTTGGAAAAGAGCCAGTGGTGGCCAAACAAAAACATGGCCTCATCAATCCATGAAATCCTTGACAGTTAAACTGAGTCGGTCAGGTAGGGAGATGCAGACTTCCGGGTTAGGGCCCTCGGGACTCTATGAATCAATCAATGGCTGGAGACAATAGGTGACATGGCTCAAACTCATCGTTGTCAATGGCCAGCGCACATGTATTCAGCCTCTGTAATCTTTCATATTCCTTTCTACCATTACCCATTCTGTTTCACTCTTATACTTGTCAGACTGTATTGATTCTCGTCACTCATCTTCTTGTCTACCTCTGGGTGGTATTTGGAACGTGGCAACTGGAACTGGTGCACTTCGGTGCCAAGTTCTGTGTTGAATTCAGACAGACAGAGAAGCCAGAGTAATAAACACTGATGCTAGCATTTTATTTTTGCACAAATCGCTGTTGTTCTTACCTTTTGATAACCTGATAGAAATACACACATGACTGTTAGTGTCACTTTGCTTTCTTTATCTGAAATTCTCATATTGTAACTTTACATACATATATTTATATATCCTTCACGTTCCCAGTGGAACATAGGGCGCCTTCAAGCTAGAAGCTTGAAGTTTCTGTTGCAGTGGTGTTTTTATTTTTACAGGATGTGGGGTTGCTGCTAGCCTCATGCCCCAACCTTTCCTCTTTTACCAACTTTATTACTGGCTAAGCGAGGTAAAGGAGCATGTTGTAATTTATTTTGCATAAAATTGTATTCTTCCATAAAAGTAAGAACAAAAATAGGCCTGCATTAAAAACTTTTTTTTGTTATTGATGCATTACTGGGATTTATGAATTTTGTGATTACAACTTGTAGGTAACTTGTTGATGATTTATTTGGAAACATATCTTAGTCGCCTGTGAACATGCATAGTTTATTTACTTTTTTTCTTTTCCCGCTTTTCACACAGAAGAGATAAACTGTCAACATGGCCGGGGTTAGGGTGTGGGTGAAGAAAGGCGGTGTTCAATTCGTCTGAAGGATATAACATCGCTTTTCCTACAGTTTAAGCGAAATACCAACAAATGGAAAATAGTCTGTCTATTCAGAGCAGTCGATAGGAAAGGGTAATAAATAAATAGGAGGAGAAAAGAAAAAATACTGTCAAAAGAGTAATTTATAATCCTCCAGCCAAACTTATTAGGGTATTTATTGATCGTCCAAGTAGTTGATTAATTTGTCTTTTGTACACAAAGCTGTTAACTTTTTCCTGCAATCTAGCTTCACTTTCTGAGTATTATTTTCAAGTTGTTGTGTGAATGAGTTTTGTAGGGATTTGAGTCAGTTATGAACGAAACCAACGAAAACACAATGATGTAATGAGAATCTGTTTCGTCCTGGCTTGTGACTCTCTTCATCACTGTTCACCCACTATAATACTAGGGACCAAACTGGGAGCTAGGATTCATGGATCGTTGAACACCAACCTGTCTGTCTGTCTGTCTGTTTTCGACATAGAACTATGCACATATGTGCGGAAGTTCAAGTCGTCACACTCCATTTAGCACACAAAGTAAGAGAAGAAAGTACAAGAAAAGCATAATAGAGACAGTAAACAGAGGAGTGAGACAAAGGAATAGTAATAACGAAGAACAACATAGTTTAATTGGAAATCATAGGTCACAGGGAGGGGATGCATCTGCGCCACTGAGAACGATTTTGAACCATGTCATCAATTGTTTCCAACCATTTGATTTTACCGTCCCTAGGAACCCAGCCTGGAAGTCTACACCTTCCTACGTGGCTTAGACTAACTGTTGTAGATTTCATTGACTGGTGGAGCCATGTTTTGGTTTGACCACCACTAGCTAACTCTTTTCCAGCCTGACCCCATGTCAGCTAACATTGCCCATTGTCGAGGAAGACGATGACTAGGCATTGGTACGTAACACATGTCCTAACCATCTAAGTCTGTAACTTCACAACTTCGTCGATTGATTTCCTCTGTTTACCTAGAACTCGACGCCTAACCTCCATGTTGCTCACCTTATCATGCCAATTCACACGGGAGATATAACGCAGGCACCTATGATCAAAGACAGCCAGCTAGTCTTTTCATGTCTTCCACTCTCAGTGGCCAGGTCTCACAGCTGGCCATAAAGGAGGATGGAGCGGACTGATGAGCAGTACACCCGCCCTTTGGTCGATAGTCGAACATCTCGTCTACGCCAGAGTCGGCGTAAACTGGCAAATGCGAAACGAGCCCCCTGTATCCGTCTCGAGATTTCGTCAGAGATCAACCCGTTGGCACTGGCTGATGGTACTTCCTAAATAAGTGAAGCGGTCGATGTGCTCTACCACTTCACTCCCTATTTTTAAGCTAGGAGTCGCTGCATTCCGGTCTTGTAACATTATCTTGCATTTGGCGGGAGCGAATCGCACGCCAAACATTCGTAGATTACAGCTCAAGGTGTTCAGAAGACTGTATTTTGTCAGCGTCTTTGCCTAGAAGTACTATATCGTCTGCATATTCTAAGTCAACGAGATTATTCCCTGGTAGCAAGTCAATCCCTGAGTCGCTGAAGTGAGTTAGGGTTAAGTCCATTAGTACATCAATGATGAAGTTGAATAGAAAAGGGGATAATGGGCATCCTCGACGGACACCACTAGTCGTCACCAGTTCAGATGACAACTCGCCGTGAGCCCTCACCTGGCTGTATGAGTACGAGTAGAGTGCCTTAATCAGTGCAATGTATTTTCTCGACATTCCCTTTACAGCCAAGCATCTCCAGAGAACCTCTCGGTCGATAGAACCGAATTCCGCCCTTAGGTCAAGAAATATAATGACTTTTGGACGCTGGTAGGAATTCCTATGTTCTAGAATTTGTCGGAGGGTGAAGATATGATCAATACACCCTCTTCCTGGTCTAAATCCTGCCTGGCTCTCTCTCTCTCGTGTTTGTCCCTCCCGAGCACCACTCAGTCTACGCATGATTATTGAGCCTAAGACTTTAGATACTATATTAGTCAAGCTAATCCGTCTGTGATTATCACAGGAAGACTTGTCTCCCTTCTTGTATATGGGGATAATCAGTGACTTACACCAACCCGATGGGACTTCTTCTGATTCCCAGACGCTGCCTAGTACCTCAGTTAATCCGGACAGTAAGCTGTCTCCACCGTACTTAAATACCTCTGGAGTCATTCCATCAGGTCCCGCTGCTTTGCCTAGTTTCAGATTGGTGACAGCTTTAGAAACCTCAGTTAGGGAAGGAGGACCTGTGTCTATATCCCATTCGGGTGTGTGCTGGATGACGGGGAGGTTCAGTGTGGATGTAGGCAGGTTGAATTGTTCCTCAAAGTGTTCTATCCAACGTTCGAGGCGTCTGTCCTGAGAGCTAATTAAGGAGCCATTTTTCTCAGAAATAGTCTCACTTATGAATTGCCTTCTCCCACCCGAATCTGTGATGAGTCTAAAGAGTTGCCTAGTGTTCCCTATCGCCGATGCTTTTTCCATCTCTTTCGCCACCAACGTAGTGGCTTGACGGATGGTCAGCGGGCTAGTCTTGTAACCTCGACTTCTTGGGTTTGATCTGTGGTAGCCGGTGTGGGGGGCGGGGGGGGGGGCGAAGAGCGGCAATAAGTACCCACTGCTGATTTTGTAACTGATGTAAGTTTGTGACGAAATCCACGTTATTATTAGCACTAGGATTAATTATTTTATCACCTTTAGACGATACACAAGAAACTCAATCAAACTGTTTTCACGAGTTAATCACGGATTGATATCGGCTAGAGAACCATTGAAAACCAGCAAAGAGTACTGGACAGCTGTTTCATCCTCGTTTGGGAATCATCGGCAGTACGCATCCACCACCAGGAGGTTCAAACCCAGGACCTTCCGGTTATAAGACAAGCTAGCTCGTATAGCATTCAGCAGCTATTGGGAACCATCACTATACAAGTTCTCAAGTGGAACCCGAATGGGAAGCGGCAAGTTGGTCGTCAGTGCGACGGTAACACGGACGAGGAGATGAAATCATGTGGGTTGGTGGACGTGGAGCCAAATGAAAACGTTGGCGGAGAACCGAACGCAATGGAGACGTTCGGCTGAAGCTCTATGTCCCTCTAAGAACTAAAGGAAACAAATAATAAAAATAATAAGTACGAAATCTCACTCCAATTTTTTTTTTCTAATAATTACCCTCAATTACCTTAACATTAGCCCTATAGCACTCTCTGGTTGACTGATAAATAGCATTGAACATTCAGGACTAAGCAGCATACTATACCTATTGATTTGCAGTAATCATTCAACTCATCTAGCCGTGAAATTTGTTGTATAACATAATGACTTGAAGTAATCCATTGTATATTTTCCTCTATCTTCTTTACTTTTCAGGCATTATTTTCAATTCCATCATCTTATCATGCTAACAGTCTTTATTTAGTTGTACGTGTTGACAAAGTTCTCAGTGGACCAATAACTACAGCAGTAGAAAAATATTTAAAAAATAATTCAGGTACAAATATGAATGACTATAAAACTGGATCAAGTATACAAAAAACAATGGTGAATTATTGTCGAAATATTGGTCGATATCGTATGCCATTTGCATGGGGTGCAAGGTGTGTTTATGCCTAATTTTTCTTTTATGTGTTTTCTTCTCCTTTCTTTCTTTTGTTTTTGGTCCTGGGTTTGAGTCCCACTTCGCCTACTTCAACTTGGGTAGCTTAGCAATAGTAGTGCCATTAGTCCTCACATACAATAGGCGTGTGGATCTCCTCGGCTGGAACAGTGGCTCATTCATTGCTTTAGGCTCATGACTTTCAACCAAGTGGGTTACGGATTTTAACCTTTTTCCATCTACTACTGTTTGGGTAACGAGTTAACACCACTAGCCCTCAAACACACAAAAGGTGTGACTCATTACCAACTGCATAGAATCTCATGTGGTTGGTTGTTGAGTTACTGAGGAGGAACCTGGAATACCTGTTCCTGGAAATGAAAATCGAGGAATTTATGTTCAGTTTTAATGTTCATATTATTAATTTGATTAAAATGGTCATAGGATAGTCTCGCCTATATTTCTGTCCTATTTATCAAGATCTCTTTAACAAAAGTGATCTTTTTGTTATTCAAGTGTTGGTTTGTAGGGATTTGATTTGGTCACAGGATTTCATCATGAGCTAACATTAGTTAGAGAACCATAGGAAAACCTGGGAGTACTGGACAGCTGTTTCACCCGTCCTAGTTTGGAACTCTTCAGCAGTACGCGCCACTGGGATTCGAACCCACGACCTTCTGGTTACTAGGCGAGCTCTTATACCATTAAGCCACTGTGACCCAATCCAATGGCCAGCCCATGAATTCTAACTTCCGCCAATTCATGGCATAGCGCGACCGCTAGCCAATGTCTTCGGGGGCGAGTATTTGTCCTCAAACCCGACCTGCTGCACTCTACTGGTCCCGACTTCTCAATAGAACCCCAGGTAACTACCCAGCTGAATAGGGCAAGTCGCCAGTGAGCATCTCATTGTTATTGTTTGCAGAGTAGTAAAGATATGGAAAATGAAAATAGGAGATGTAATGGCCAAGTGGTATTACTTTGATTTTTATTGTTATTGGTTCCATTTATATTTATTAACTTTTAGACGTATTTCTTTGGATAATCCCTAAAAGCAAGTAACAAATCTTATTTTATTCAGTGTTAACATGCCTGACTATTAGATAGTTGAAAGGCGGTTGTCAGGAAGCCCTACCTGACGTAGGTCTCATGTTAGTTGACACTCATCAGTCACCCAGCAAGGTGTATCTACAATCTTGAAGGAACTGATAGAATTCAGTCTGCACCAAAGAAAGGATTAGATATATTACCCCAGATTATAACCAGTGTCCAACAGAAGTATACAATACAGTCAGTCCTACAAGGGGTAAGTCACGAGCTCGAATAGTTCCTCAGTGCTAACATCTCACTGTAGGCGGCACTGGGTAACAAGGGTTCGGGTCTCAGATGGAGGGATATGAATTCCTTGAAGGTTTCAGATACGCCTTGCTGACTGATTGGTCAGTGAATGCCAACTAACACGAAACCCAAATCAAATAGGGCTTCCTACCGATCGCCTCTAACCATCTAATATCAACAATTCACAGTCATAGTGCACCGTGATGTTGAGCCACCTAGCATGGTGGCCAGAACAGCTGTCATTGTTGGATTCCTGGATTCCGAATAAAATTGAAGGTTATTAAATTAAAGTAAATTTCGTACATGGCTCAGATATGGATACTTAGTTCAAGTCGTCTTATCTGCTAGACCATGAGGAGTGAGTACATAAGACATGATGTTAAACTATCCGAGCATTTAAATAGAGTTATAGATGTAACAGGATTAGAACGCATCTATCCTTTTTTGTATTTGAATAACTTAGCAGGCTTGCCTTTTACCGTCAATCGACTATGGATCATTGGCGATTATGGAGGCCTTCCTGGGGTAACTAACATACTTTAGTACAGACTCCTGTTTCTCTGTAGTGGCTTTTAATTGACTGAGTGTTCCCAGTGTAAATTATAGGGCACCTTTTTATATAGTCGTGTTAACAACAACGAAATATCTAAAAGCTTGTAGAATCAGAAATGCTAGACTGACGACCAATCAGCATTTACCACCTGTAAGTGGCAATAGTAATAATTCAAGTTTGGAAGGTATTTCACCTTGCTTCAGGATTCTAATCATCTTCATCTTCTTCACTATCAATCATCGTGTGAATCATTAATGTTAAAGTATTCTTCATTTAGACTGAAAATTTCATTTTCTTATTTCGTATTTAATCGATGTCATCTCCTGAGGAAGAATGTTTATCCAGAGTTACTTCATCTTGCATCTGCATATTTTAAGTCAACGAGACTATTATTCCCTGGTGGTAACAAGCTGAAGTCACTTTCGGTTAAATTCACTAGTACATCTATGTTGAGATTGATTAGAAATAGGGATAGTGCGCATCTCTGACGGACACCACTAGTTGTCACCACTTCAGATGACAACTCGCCGTAAGCTCTCATCTGGCTGGCTTCATGAGTTCAAGTAGAGTGAGTGTCTTGACCAGTCCAATATATTTTCTCGACATTCCTTTCCCAACCAAACATCGCCAGAGTAACTCGGTCGACAGAATCGAAAGCCGCCTTTAGGTCAAGAAATATTGTTGGACACCGCCGGTAAGTTTGACTATGTTTCAGAATCTGTTGAAGGGTGAAGATATGATCAATACACCCTCTTCCTGGTCTAAATCCTGCCTGGCTCTCTCTCTCTCGTGTTTGTCCCTCCCGAGCACCACTCAGTCTACGCATGATTATTGAGCCTAGGACTTTAGATACTATATTAGTCAAGCTAATCCGTCTGTGATTATCACAGGAAGACTTGTCTCCCTTCTTGTATATGGGGACAATCAGTGACTTACACCAACCCGATGGGACTTCTTCTGATTCCCAGACGCTGCCTAGTACCTCAGTTAATGCAGACAGTAAACTGTCTCCACCGTACTTAAATACCTCTGGAATCATTCCATCAGGTCCCGCTGCTTTGCCTAGCTTCAGATTGGTGACAGCTTTAGAAACCTCAGTTAGGGAAGGAGGACCTGTGTCTATATCCCATCCAGGGAGGTGTTGGATGTTCGGTAGATTGAACGTGACTGTAGGCCAATTAAACTGCTGCTCAAAGGATTATTTCCAACGTCCTAGTCATTTATCCTGGGAGCTAATTATGGTGCCATTTTTCTCAGAGATTGTTTAACTTATCGTTTGCCTTTTACCACCTGTTTCCTTGATAAGTCTCAACGGTTTTCTGGTGTTACCAATCGCCGATGCCTATCCAATCTCCTTTGCTTTTTTTGCCCACCATTGTTCACGGTCGTTACAAAGAGTCGATGAAGTGAGTTAGGGATAAGTCTATTAGTAGTACACGTATGGTGAAAGTGAATAGAAATGCCCACTATCCCCATTTCTATTCAATTTCACCATACGTGTACTACTAATAGACTTATCCCTAACTCACTTCATCGTAGCAGGGATTGACGTGTTACCACCAGGGAATAACAGTCTCGTTGACTTAGAATATGCAGACGACATAGTCCTTCCTCCTAGATGAAGACGCTAACAAAACTAGGACGAAACAGCTGTCCTGTACTCCGGTGCTGGTTTTCCAGTGGTTCTTTAACTGATGTCAGCTCATGGTGAAGTCCTCCATGCAATCAAACAATATCCCCACAAAACCAATTCTTGAAAATTTAAAAGTCTAGTTGTCAGCTGAACTGTCATTGGATAATTATCATTGAGTGTGTATATACCTTGCTTTAAAAAAAAAGAAAAGAAAATTTTTTATTCAGTGTTAATATTTACCTTCTGTTATCTTCTTTATACACGGATCTTTTCCATAGATCGCTAAACAGTTCAAATCGTTTTGTTCATCTCTTCAAAATGGATTCAAATAAAATATCTGAACAGGCATTAATTCAAACAGCTCAGATGTTGTCACGTTTATCGTCTGATTATAATTCAGCGCCAGGATATGACGATAGCAATGTAAATCTAACAAACAATGATACCAATACTACTCATAATAATATCAGTAATACAGTTGATTCGAATCATCATTATAATATCCCAGAGTCATTAATTCAATCAAGTCAATCAGTTAAATCATTAAAAACTATTGGACGTAGTGTTACAAGCACTGCTAATGAGAATATACTCTATCCAACAGAACAAGATCGTTTATTTATTGATATAGTTGAACGTTCATTGAAGACTCAAATGTTACCTATTCGTTTTGAATTAATTATCAGTGAATTAATTGATCAACATATAGATCCTAATGCAAAAATTATATCACGTAAGTCTTAAACAAAACTTGTTCATTTATTACAGAATTTCATCAAAAGCTGACATTAGCTAGAGAATCATTGGAAAACCTGGGAGTACCGGATGGTTGTTTCGTCCTAGATTGGGGCTCTTCATCAGAATAGACTTACCCAGGTTCAAACCCAGGAAATGGATAGATAGATGGTCTTCTCAATGTATGCCTGATCCATAGTTGTTGAGCGATCAGCTCTTGGTTGGTGTGTTTTCAGCCAGTCAGAGTTCCTTGTCACTAATTCTTTCCGGCCATTTGATCTTTAGTATGGAGCGAAGTGGGTAGCGCTTGATAAAGGCCTGCTGTGACCTGTTGGAAATCACTTTCATTACACGCTGTTTAAGTTTGTGACCCGTATAGAAGGACTGACTTGACATTTGTGTCGAAAATGCGAATCTTGTTCTTTATGCTGAAGCTGAATGGAGCAGAAGATTTCCAAACTGGTTTCAGAAGATTGGTTCACACTGAATTAGAGCTTTGGCTGCCGCTGACGACATCATTATAGCCACTCCCTCAGTGTGTTTGTGGTTGTCGTCTAGGTCTGGGTGGTCAGAGTAGATTACGGACTCTCCAGTTGACAATTTGGATAATCCACATTCATTCCCTGTGCTCTCGCATTTACCCAGCATTTCTTTGGCTACCTGGGCAGTCTTCCAAGCCAGTCTTGTACAGTGTATGGACATTCAAAGTCCCCATTCTTATTCTTGCCTTCGTCGAAAGAAGACACATCGGCTAACTAGCTTCCCGAAAGCTTCCACCAGCCCGCTGTGTCATTTCGCTTCTCCGATTCCAACGAAGAATGAGATCGTTCTCTGAATTTTTTGTACTTTTAATATATTTTTTGTGCGTTGAAGTTTCTCCAGCGGTTTATTAGGTTTAGTGGTGTGGGGTTGCTAGCCTTACGGCTAGAAAACTAGCGAGCTAGTTAGCTAGGCGAGGTTCAGTCGTTCTTTAGTGAGGATCACATAACCAAAGAGAATTAGCAACAAGAAACTCTTTAGTGGTAAAAATCAATCGAGTCGATTAATCGAAAAATATGTTGGAGACCATAGCTAGAGTGGAATCCCATCGAAAAGCGAAGATAAGGTCATCGGTGCCAGGGTGACTTGGACGAGATGAGAGATTATGGTCAGTCATAGACCCAGCTGAAGAGGAAAGCAGAAAATATAACAAAGTGAAGAGGTTTTTTTGTAGTCGTATGTTCCAATCGGAACCTAAAACGAATAATAAATAAATAAATCCTATTTCTATATGAAAATACTAATTTTATTATTGGCACATTAAAGGTCTAGTTCCCCACCTAAACGTTTTTATTCTGTTGCTTGTTAACAAGTATAATTTATCGGAATGCATAGCTTCCTATGCTTTCGGTTACGAATGCCTTCGATGATAACATCCTCTATGACGTCTGACAGTTGATGTTATCATCAATGCCAACTTCTAGCCATAACTGAAATTGATTTGAAGTAAAACCAGGCTGCGTACTATTGCCAATGATTTTTCTGATTGCGGTAGATTGGATAATGTGACAGATAGCGGGTAATGAGGAAACAGGCATAAAATGGACCCACACAAAAAAAACTTGGAGGATCTGGACTTCTCCGATGATATATATCTGATTTCCTACAAACTGGAAGATATGCATCTAAAAAGCAACAAGTTGGCAGAAGAAGCATCCAAAGAAGATAGGACTTCCTTCTGGCGAATATAGATAAGACAGGGGTGATGAAGATTTCTGACCAACACCAACAGCAGTAACAACAACAGACAACAATCAGCCGGCATAAATGGGAGGAATCTGAAAGAAGCAACATCCTCTACCTGCCTACCTACCTGGGAGGCATCGTTTCAACTACAGGCCGATGGAACTGACGAGGATATCAAAGCCAGAATCGGAAAAGCAAGACAAGCTTTCATTACTCTAAAGTCTGTATAGAGGTCAACAGCACTCAGAATCAAAAATAAGATCCGGATCTTCAACTCCAATGTGAAGTCAGTCAGTGCTACTCACTATACGGATCAGAGACTTGGCGCGTCATAAAGAGCACCTCAAAGAAACTTCAGACCTTCATCAACAGCTGTCTTCGCTTAATACTACTCTACATCAGATGGCCGGTCAGAAAAGATCAGCAATAAGGATCTCTGGCAATTAGCGAACCAACCAGGAAACCAATTGTGAAACAAATAGACAGGAAGAAATGGAGATGGACTGACCATACTTTAAGGAGACAAACCATCAAGTGACATCACTAGACAAGCCATTGCTCGAGTGTAACCCGAAAGGGAAGCGGTGAGTTGGTCGTCAGTGCGACGGTGACTTGGAGGAGGTCATGTGAAGAGGAGATGAAAACATGTGGGCGAACTTGGAGCCAGGTGAAAACTAGCGGAGAAGCGAACACAATGGAGACGCGCGGCTGAAGCCCTATGTTCCTGTAGGAATTAAAGGAAATAATAATAATGCTTAAACTTTCTATTGTTGAATTCAATTCTCAATGTATAATCTTATTATTAATAATTTCACTGTTGAATTTTAGAATTAATTTATTATTCTCTCATTATTATTTTAAAAACAAAACAAATTAAATTCCAGGTATTATCAGTTCAAATCTTGAAACGTATATACCAACAGTTGATGTAACAAATTATTCATTGAATTGTTACATACCATCTAGTCATCCAATGCTGATGTCAGATGAAATTATACGTGAAGTTGAAAATTTATTCGATTTCAATTCTCCTTCCATGTCATCGTCAACATCAGCAGCAGCAGCAGCAACAACCACGTCGACGACAGTTACCGGTGTTTCATCTCATCATGATGATTTAGGACTTACTTATTCAGGTATAAATTTGGTTTTTCAGTTAATAGATTGATTTGATATAAGAATAAGAACCACTCTGTGCACTATGGTAGAGTATAATTCTATTATGGATAAAATTTTATTTTGATAAAGTGTCACACAATGGTGTTATACAGTAAGTAATATTTACTGATGACCACGTTTCGAGCACAGTTTATTCTCGCTTATAATCATATCACGGTACTACTTACACCCAACTTTCTACCTTTGTTTATATAATTTCATCGTTATTTTTTCACTGCTTCATTTGATTGGTAATAGTATTTTACATATTTCTGGTATTAGTGATGAATCGTTCCTATTGCACGTGTTGGGTGTAGACTCGATGAACAAAAATTCAGTAATCAACCCCTCTCTCTCTCTCTCCACCTACCTTTATTACTTCTTAGAATTTTAACTCTGTCCCAACCTATTGTGTAGTTATGTGTTAATGTATTCAGTGCAATAGCTAAGCTTTTTTCTAAATTGCTTATCTTCGCAGATGGGGTCAATCATTCTAACCTTAGCTAATTTCTTCTGTTCCAACAATCTGGCTGTTGCCGATCTACTGGTCTGATCGACTTATGCAGGTGACCTTACAGTCATTGCAAGATATTTTGTAAATTATATTATTTTGTCTAATTGGGTCAACCGACGGAAGTCCTTTAACCTACAGAGCTTGTCCTACCTGAGTGAGTTTGTAGGTTTAAATGTCACTCTAATTCCCGCCTTACTGAGAATCTTACGTAGGGAGTGCCTCAGATGTCTCCTCCTTATATGGCATAACGGTAGATGCCTTATATTCTCTCTTATTTACGTTGTCATTATTCGTTTCCCCATTATTTTTATTTTACTATTCATCTTTTCTGGTATTACTAATGAATTTCATAGGATAGTTATTTGATGCCAACGCTTCTTCTACCTGTTTTATTTCATCATTTAGGTCTTTTCTTGTACTACTTAGTGCTACTGCTCAGTTTGTTAGACACCTAACTGAGTATGCCTTTACGGACAACGGATGAGGTGAATTAAAGTCTAAATATCTATTAGAATGCATTGGCTTTTTTATAAGCACTAGTGTGCAGTTTACATCCTTCTACTCGTTTTATTTTACAGTCTAACTTCAGGGCTAATTCTCCTTGTTCATTTTGCGATTGAAATGTGAATTTTATTCCCTCTATTTGAGAGTTTATATGTGTCAAGAAGCTAGAAAGAGATATGGTCTGTTTTTAACACTATGATAGTGTCATCCATATATCTCCACCATATTTTTGGAGCAGGATTAAATGTTTTTAGAACAGTATTTTCCCAGCTATCCATAAGCATGTCGGCTACGATAGGGGATATTGGTGATCCATCCCATCTCTACACCATCTGTTTGTCTATACATTTTGCCTTGGAATTTAAAGATAGTAGATATGAGGCATAACTGAATTCCTGAGATAACTTCCTCAATGGACAGCTTTGTCCTATGATTAAATTCAGCATCTGCGGTCGATTCCCTTTTAACTGCTTCTCGGTCCATATTGATTGGTATGTTGGTATAAAGACTAGTTATATCAAAACTAACCATTATTTCATCATTGTCTAGTTCAATGTCATTTAGTTTATTTTTCATCTCATATGAATTAGTTAGTCAGCCTAGAGTTTGAACTATTTCTTATGGGGCCGTAATATTAGAGCTAAGTGTTTTTTTAATTCATAAATAGGGGTATTTCTGAATTCTACTACTGGTCTTATGGGGTAACCTGGCTTATGTATTTTAACAGTACCATATATTCTGCTAGCATTATTAGTTTTTTAGGCTTTAAATTAAACCATTTAGACTCACACAGTGACGGCTTCATTCTTCTTATTAGTTCTGCTGTAGATTTCTTAACCTTATACATTATTGTATCTACTGGCTTCTTAATTTCCTCATATGGACCCATCTCAATATGTTGAAGAACTTTTTTGATATATATATAAATTTATCCAAAACTACTGTAGACTTTCCCTTATCAGCTTTTGTGATGACGATGAAAAGTAATGTAATTACATAAACGAAGTTAGAAAGTTTTGTGAGTAGTGCCTTGATATGATTATGAATAGCCCATGAATTGTGCTCGAAATATGGTCATCAGTTAATATTACTGTATAACACTGTGTGACTTTATCAAAATAAATTATAACCATAATGGAATATACGGATTTGTTGTACGTGTATACGTTTTTGTCGATGTTTGTGGAGTAGTTACCTGTCTCACATAATTTACTTTTTGAATGTCAAGATCTGATTTAAGACTAAGCAGTGGGAAGTGATTGAAGATCAAATGACTGGCCAGGAAGAATCAGCAACAAGAAACTATGCAAACAAACGGACCAAGTACCTATCGCTTAACAAAAAATATACAGGAGAAAATGGATATGGATGATTAAGCACACGCTACTGGGCAGACTGTTGCATGACATCTCGTACAGTGCAGACCATTACTAGAGTGGAATCTGAATGGGAAGCAACGTGTGGGACGTCACTTTGTGGTAAGAGCTGTCCGCTAGGCAAACTTGTAGACACCAATTTACGTCAGTGTTTACGTCCCGAATCGGGAACACGAGATGAAACTATATCAAAGCCTAACCTTGAGAAACTCGCTACAGCCAATCACAGCTGACTTGGCGTGGGCGGATACGATTCGCAAATATATGGCTTAACTTTCTAAGAAACAGTCACAAGAGGTACAGAATAACCTTCATCAGGAAAATGACCAGTCAGAAGAAGCTGTTCCTCTGGTAACAATAACGAATAATAGTGTACTTAAGAATCTATAAATATCTGTTGATTTCCTCAATAAAAGAACTGTTGTCTGGCCCTTGTCTTCTGTCGTTACAACTTCAAGGGTGAAGAGGAGGAGATGAGACATTATAGGCAGTCGTGTGGTTAGCCAGCTGAAGAAGATAACAGAGATGTGCTGTTAAAGCCGTGCGTTCCACTCGGAATCCAAGGGAATAATTCATTGGGTGTGAAAGTTGGATAATTAATTAAGAATATTCATGGCATACAGATGAATCGAAATGTTAACTTAGTAAAATATTTGGCAAGATTAAACAATAGACACCAAAATCAAATGACGTTGATTTGACCAATCAGATTGCTCAGCATTACAAATGGATGCTAGTGATAATCCTCGTTGAAAATGTCTCCTAGATTTGTTTTGTGACTTCTCTGTGGAAAATGTGTTGATAGAGAGGAATAAAACATGCATATGTGGAGGGATAATGACTCCTGAGAAGTATTGCCGGGGTTATTGATGGTTATACATTCAGATGCAGCTAATTTGTATGAGGAAGTCTCTATAAGTTGGTAAGTCGTACTTAATTGGTGATTCTTTAAGACACTTTCTTCTCGAAATCAAAGCTCTCCCTTAGTAATATATTGCGTATATACAACCAGTATCCGCTACAGCTGGAGAAATAGAGATTACAGTGGTTTGGTATGTTTATAACCACTTCTATGAGAATCCGGGACCAGCTTTTGCAGCATATTATATATATATATATATTATAGATACACTGCAAATTAAGTACAACTTTTCATCTGACTGGCCGTTGCGGGGTCTTCGTATCTACTCTTTACTGTTGCCAAAATTATAATATTATAGTATTTATTTGTGTAATTTAGTTGAAGTTCTTCGAACAAAACAATAAGTGGGGAGTAACAGTTTGCTTTTCATAGGTTACTTTTCAAGTGTTGGATCGCACGGATCTGACTTGATTGGTTACACGATTTCATCAAGAGCTGACATCAGTTAGGGAACCATTTTAATACCACCACTGGGGTACTGGACAGCCAGCTGTTTCGTCAAACTAATTAAGGACTCTACAACAGTACTCACCCCACCGCCAGGTGTCAAGGCCAGCGAGCTCATAGATCATTCAGCTACTGAGACGCGATCGAATGACCAGTCAGTCCATGAATTCCAACTTCTGCCAATAATTCACGATATATATCGTAACTGGAACTAGCCAGTGTCACCGGCAGCGGCGGCGAGTATTTTGCCTTCACACCCTACCTGCCGTACCTCACTGGTCACGACTTCCCTGACTACCGCCAGTCTCTAGGGAACATCAGATTAGTATTCAAGTGTCGGTCTGTAGGGATTTGATTTGATTTGATCGGTGACAGGATTTCATCATGAGCTAACAGTGGTTAGAGAACCATTAGAAAACCAGCACCGAAGTACTGGATAGCTGACTGTTTCTTCCTACTTTGGAACTCTTCAACAGTACGCTTTACTTTTCAAATCTCCAATTATCACCATCGAAAATAGATGATGTACAGGGAATGGTGATTAATTTCGTTATTTATTCTGAAATATATACTGGTCGACATCTGTTTACCAAATGTGTGTCAAATAACACACACACACACACTTCGTATCCAGTTGTTTTACATGTGCATCAGTAACCGTTGTAAGACTGTATCACAAATCAAAATCAATAACAGGTGATCATTGGTAGTAATAGTAGTACTTTAAACTTTAACATCAAAGCATAAATTTTTCACGACTAAATCAAACCAATCTTGTGTAAAATCGTTGGATCGCTTTATAAATTTGGACATATGTTGTGAAAAGCCGTTGGATTATGCAATTGGGTGAAACACACTTCATCGAATAATCGAATTACAGCACACATTTTCACGACTGTTACACCTAACCTGCTTTATGTTATGAGATATTATTTTTATCCAGAATAGTGTTTAGCGTCATTCCGCCTACGCATGTGTTTTTCAAGTATATTTCAATTGACCTTCGTTTGATTTATTTTAAAAAAAAGTATGAATAACTTGAAAAATTGTTCGAAATGCCTTGCGTAATTGCATCATATTTCTCAGATAGACTTTGTACTCTAATGATTCTATCCAATTAAGTCTTTGATCAGTTTTTAAATAGACTGTTCCTTAAAAGTCACAGATACTCCTTCTTTCTTGTAGTCAGTAAACAGGGGGAGCCTCCAGGTGGTATTCTGAAGTGCTACGATAAACTGTTTATTGAAAGTGTTGGTTTGTAGGGATTTTGTCTGATTGGTTGGAGGATTTCATTATGAATTGACATGGGTTAGAAAACCATTGGAGAACCTTGGAGTACTGGAGTACTGTTTCGTCTTAGTTTAGGACTCTTCAGTAGTACTCACCCACGACCGATGGGTTGGAACACAGGATCTTCTGCTTACAAAGGTGAGCTATCTGGTAGGCGATTAAGCAGCCAGTCCATGTATTCTAACTTCTGCCAATCCACGACGTGTAGCATCCGAACAATTTTCGAGGTGTTCTAAAGGTTCTCTAACCGATATCAGCTGATGATGAAAAAGGGTGTGTTGCATAACGGGTTCAGCAGTACCTACCATGATAGTTTGAAGTGATTAGCATATTTGTTACTGCTAACCTAGAAGCTGAAGAAAATCCAGAAGTAGCCAGAACAAAATATTCAATCAATTGTTGTGTAGTGACAGGTAAAGTAGATGAAATGTACTTGTTTGAATGGTAATAACAAATCGATAGGTCTAATTTTGCCTTATGCCCCGTCTCTTTCATCCTATTTTTTCCTGTTTTTCTTGTACACTATTTTTTAGATGATACTAATTCACTATCCCGTACAGGAAGTCTTCAAAGAAGTTTTCTGAACAATTCACTAACTGGTAAAAGTAACAGAGATTCTTTATTGTCAAATATTAGTATGGGAAGTTTACCTGGTACGTTGGTCTCTGCATCTAATGATCTACCGAAAAGTATCAACGCAAGTACAATTCAAGCTCGTACAAATTCCCTGGATCGAACTGAGTATGGTGTGCAGTATGGCGCACAGCATAATACAACATCCAAGTTACTACCGTTCACTTCATTCTTCAATACTCTTTATGTGTGCCCGAAATCATTAAATTTATCTGTGAAGCATAGTTTTCCAAGGGTAAATGTTATTTTATTTATCTATTTTTGGATAATTTATCGTAGTGTGTGTGGAACTGTAACCAAAGCCATTTTGACTTCAAAATATTTAAATGATATTCGAAAATGTTCTTTTTTTGTCTCGTTTTATTGTGCATAGAATTCATCTTCTACTTAGGTTTAACATTGCCTGTCTGAGAAATATTTTGTGTAGCTAGTGGCCTATTGTTTTTTGCACACTCAATTAACGGCTAGCTGTCTTTGATGATAGGCGTCCGCTTTCTATCTCCTTTCTTACGTGGTAGGTGTAATAGGGGGAGTAATATTGAGATAGTAAGGCTTCGGTCAAGTGGTAGGTAAGGAGGGAAAATCAACTGACGAGGCTGTGAAGCAGTTATATTGATTAGGACATATACGCCAGCAGTCAATCAACCAATACACAACTTTAAGTGCATCGTGATAGAAAGCCGACCCTCAGACAGACGTGGCCACAGGATATCCCGTGGCCGCAATATGCCTTCAATATGTTGATGCTCAAAGGAGTATGCAGTTCACATTAATTCACACAGTTGGGTGCACTTTTCATCGACACATGAATGGAGTGATCCACCGCTCAAAGTTGTACTCTAGATGCATAGAACTAAAGGTTCGAGGCTGCAACCACCAGGCCAGCGTACATGCCAGTCCAGCTGGAAGCCAGATGCATGCGGAACAGCAAACCCGTGAATGGCAAGCCAAACCTGATCGCTTAAACAGTGTATAAAGGGGGTAGGATCGATGAGGTTGGAAAAGAGTTGCTATTGGTTGGTGGTCAAACGAATACATGGCTCCATCAGTCAATAGAATCCTTAACAGTTAGATCCACCGGAGTGGGAATTGACGAGTTGGGCGTGGACCCGACGGTGGTATGATGTTCCATCCGGAACCCGTGGGAATACTAAAAGCAGTAATTTATCGGAAAACTAATTCCAGTTTGTTGTAACCTTCAGGATCCAGTGCAGGATTATTCACTGTCAGAGGGCTGGTCTCGTTCCAATTATAATTTCCTCCTTACTGAGAGAATATTAACTGGTGCATTATGCATATGAAAGAAGAATAAATAGTTGATGTATTTATTATTATTATTGTTTTAGGGAGGCATGCCTGTTTTTCTCTCTCATATAACCACTAAATGTCAGTTCACACTGATTTTTGTTGTTGTCGTTTTGGTTAAATGGAATAACAAGAGAAGAAAAAGAAAAGTATTTTTTTTAAATTGATGTGCATAATGTTTATTTTTCTTTTGGTTTTGCTTAAATGATGTACAAAATATTGTACAATCAACTATGGTATTTCACACTGACCTTTTCTTTTTCTCACTCTATTTCTCAAATGTTTTTCTCTCTCTCTCTCTCTTCTTTCTAATCGATCAGTTTCTATTTATGATTCCTTGAATTTGACTGATTGATTTTGAACTTTGTAAAAGGCGAAGTAGTTCCTAGTTGCTACAGCGTAGAAATAAAAAAACACCTATGAAAGTAGAATAACGAAGTATAATGAAAGTATTCATTAAGTAAATGGCATAAAATGGACCCACACAAAAATACCTGGAGGATGTGGACTTCACCGCTGATATTTGTCTGATTTCTTACAAACTGAATGGAAGGAATCTGAAAGAAGCAACATCCTTTATCTACCTAGCTACACCTACATGGGAAGCGGACGGAACTAATGAGGATGTCATTGAAGCGAAGCAAGGATAACCGAGAAAGCAAGGCAAATTTTCGTTTTTCTTAAGTCTTTGTGGAGATCACTCAGCACTCAGCATGAAAGATAACATCAACTGCAATGTGCAGTCAGTGCTACTATACGAATCGTAGACTTGGCGCGTCATGAAATGTACTTTGAACACACTACAGACCTTCATCAACAGTTATCTTCGCTCAAGATCAGATGGCTAACCAGAAAAGATCAACAACAAGGATCTCTGGGAATTAACCAACTCAGCAGAAACCGATTGTACAAAAAACATGCAGGAAGAAATGGAGATGGATTGGCCATACTCTGAGAAAACCACCAAGTGATATCACACGCGAGGCAATTATTCGAGTGGAATCCGAACAGGAAGCGGCGAGTTGGTCTTCATTGCGTGGGGGTAACATGGAGGTGGTCATGTGAAGATGAGATGAAACCATGTGGGCAGATGTGGAGTCAGGTGAAAACGCTGGCGGAGAACCGTACGTAATGGAGACGTGTGGCTGAAGCCCTATGTTCCTCTACGAACTAAAGATAATCAAATGATGATTAATCAGAATTCTCATGTTCTGTACAGTAACATGGAGGGAATGCATCTGCATCTTTGTAAACGGTTTAAAGCTATGCCACTGGTCGTCTCCGATAATTGGTTTTTATCACCTGGAGGACCCTACTTATGCAGTCTGCACTCACACACACACACACAGACACACCTTACTTCAATAAAACCACTAGTCAAATATTACATGAATTCGTTTCATATACTGGTCAGAAACATCCCTATCACTTTACTAGAATTTTTCATGACTCAAAATGATGTACAGTGACTCTGGCTTTGACACTTTAGTTTGCAAAAGCTTTTGGTCTTCATTTCACGCTTTCTATGTCGCTTCACAATTGGTTTCATTTCTCCACACTGAAAATTAATCTATCCCTCCGCTATTCAAGGTTTCCACAGTTACTAACATCCTAAATGATTACAAACATATGGACGTCAGTACAAAAAAATCCCATGATTTTGTTTTCAATTCATTAGAAAATATAGATTTGTAGTATAGGTATGAATGTCAAATACAAAATGTCAAATTGGTTTGAAGCATTTAACCGCAATTTTGTTTGCATATCTATACATTGATCAAAAAGCTTTCATTTGTGTCTGGAATATTGGTGTATTTATTATTGTTATTATTATTATTTTGACACCGGATATTTTATTTTCCCCCTCCTGAGATTTCTGTTCTTATGATTGATTTGTTGTTTGGAGATCCTGATTCGAAACCGAGCACTTCGATCCAATCAATCGACGGGAAAATCTAAAAAATTCAATGACTCTCATTTGTTAAATTTTAAAGTACTACGGATTTCAATGTCCCTTCTTTTGGAAAAACCTCTCATGTTTTCAAGTGTTGGTTTGCAGGAATTTAATTTGATTGGTGGTTACTGGATTCTATCATGAGCTGAAATCGGTTGGAGGACCATTAGAAAACCACCAGAAAGTACTGGGCTGCTAGCTGTTTCGTCCTAGTGCTCGGGACTCCCCAGCAGTACACACCTAACGTCAGGGTTCGAACCCAGGATCTTACAGTTACAAGGCGAGCTCGTAGCCACTGGGACCCCATCCTATGACTCATCAGCTCGTCTTGTAAGCGTAAGGTCCGTGGTTTGAACCCCGGCGATAGGTTTGTACTGATGAATATTTACAACCACCAGGACGAAGCGACTGTCGAGTACTCCGGTGCTGGTTTTCCATTGGTTTTCTAACCGATATCAGCTTATGATGAAACCTTGTAAACATTTATATATGTTGCATTTTGTGATCATACTTTCATTCTCCTCTATTTTAGGCACGTAATCTATCATGTTTCATTGAACTACGGTCAAATGATAGTTTGGATAACTCAGCTGCATTGAAGGTTAGTGAAAGAGGCGAGAAAACGCATTGATTTATTGGGTGATACGTTTCTAATTTCGCTAGTATGCAATCCATTTGAAAATATTTTGTTCCCCTCCACACATACCCTTAGGTAACTGAGTTGTTGAATGAGATGGACCACTTAATTAAATTTGACACTCGTCACCTACCCACTAGTACACAACTATATAGCGGGGTAAGCTGACGATCGAATTCGACGACTGTTTAAGTGTAGCTACCAGTAGAGTGTAGGCTGCTCATAATAATAGATATAATTAACATTATGTAGAATGGCTTCCTTTGGAGAGTCAACTATAGTTTGTATATTTAACCGGTAAAGCTGCTATGGAGCAGATGATCGGAAGGTTGTGTAGATGAATAAAGAGAATCGAAGAGGCTACAAAATAGTGGAGACCAACTTATCCTGAATACCAAGTGTATGAAGTAGACTGAATGAAAGGCTTACTGTTTATTTTTTATCAGTGATTATTTTGATTTATTCTGATACGAATTGCATCTATTCTGACTAGTCATGTTTAGGTGAAAATTCAATTCATAGCAATTATCTCATTTATTTTAAAATAGTTTCGAAATTTCATTTTTACTATCAAAGGTATTTTGTAGTGTAGGTATTGACCCTATTTTTATGATGATCTAACTATGAATGATAATGTGTGTTGGTAGCATAGCAGTAAAATGCTCGCGAACCACGCCTCATGTGGTTCGGAGCTGGGTCTTCGGCCACGGACGCACTCCACAAACCTTTCTGAGTCAGTCACTGTGTAACGACAGAAAATAAAGGCCAAAGAACAGATCGCTTATTGAGAAAATCAACAGATATTTGTAGATTTTTATGTACATTATTGTCAGCGAAGAAGCAATGTCTTCTGATTGGTTATTTTCTTGCTGAAGGTTATCCTGTCATCTCTTTGTGTCCATTTCTTAGAAAGTTAAGCCATATATCTGCGAATCGTATTTGCACACGTTAAGTCAGCTGTGATTGGTTGTTGAGTTCCCCAAGGTGTTGGACTTTGTTATTGTTTTTTCTCATGACCCCTATTTAGGACATGAACACTGACGTTAAAATTATTGTCTAGTATTTTGGCCAGCAGACAGCACACTCTTTACAATAAGACTGGTGAAGAGGGAAGGTTGTGCATGAGGCTAGCGACCCCGTCCTGTAAATATGAATACCACTGCTAGCTCTTGTTTGAAGCCTTTTGTTCCACTGAGAATGTAAAGGAAAAATAAAGATGAATGATGATGCGTATTGAATAGACGTGTATTTATTTACACATACCAAACCAAGATGAGTTAGTCTCTATTCTATCGCCTATATTGGTAAGATAATTGGGTGGTTCACAATCTTATCACTACTATACTATCACTACTCCGATAATATTGTGCCTGCCGTTTGGAAGGACATTAAAGTTGTACCCATACCTAAATCATCCACTGGAGCATGTGTCAAATTTAGACCCATTACTATTACCTCTCCTTTTTTGAAAACTGTGGAGAAATTACTTTTACTTAGTCTTGTACCTTCGCTTAAATCTTTTAATGACCCTAAACAATTCGCCTATAAGCACAGTAGAAGCACTTTAGATGCAGCTGCCGTCATATATCATAACATTGCTTCCAGTCTAGACATGGGGGCTAAATTTGTTCGTTGTGCCTTCCTAGACTATACATCTGCTCTCGACTCGGTCTCTAGGGACATCTTATTAAATAAACTTGCAGCTAGTCAAACAGAATGTTGGGCTGTTAACTGGTTACATTCCTATTTCTCAGAAAGAAAGCAGTACACCGTATATAAAGGGAAGGAAGTCTTCCACTTCATTGCCTACTGAAGCTGGTGTCCCTCAAGGTGCTGTCCTTTCTCCTTTTCTTTTTTCTTTCTTCTTGCATGACTTGCCTCACTCTGATGAAATAAACTTTGTGAAGTACGCTGATGATTTAACGGTTTCAATAGCTGTTAACACCCAGCTAGATTGTACTAAAATAAATGGCTTTCTATCGGGAGTCAGCAAATGGTCTGAGTCTAACGGTCTTAAACTGAATCCTTCTAAGTGTCAAACTGTTGATTTCAGCTTAAGATGTAAACGACAGTTAAAAGAAGTCATCGATTCTCATGACAGTTGTAAAATTGATGACAATGATATAGGAATCAAATCAGAAATTAAGTATCTTGGACTCATTCTCTCTTCTGATCTCTCCTGGTCTTCCCATGTCGTAGCAATCTCCAGTAAAATATTCCGCCTGACATTTTACATTAAGAAGTTAAGACACTCGGGTATAACTCAACCCCTCATCTTACAGTTCGTAAACTCTTGCATCCTACCTATTCTTCTTTATTGCTCACCCTTATTCTTTCCTGGTTTGCTTAAAAAAGACTATGTCACAATTCGCAGAATACTGAAGACTGTCAGTCAGTAGGGTGAGTGGTGTCCCAGTGGACCACATAGTTAACGTCGTTGTCGATAGGCACTTGACTTCGTGCAATAAATTTGCTAAAGAGACTTTGTCTGACTTGGAGCATCCACTTTACCCTCAACTTTCACCTTGCATCTCCTCAGGTAGAACAAGAAGTAACTTCAGAAAACTGTATGCTCGCACGTTTAAGTATAAGAATTCTATGATACCATACTTGGCACGTATTTTATGTGATGAAAATAGTGTCAGGCAAGAATTAACTAACCTTTTTTCATCTAGTAAATAAACAATTTCCTCCATCCATCCTTATATACCTTCAAGTTTTACTTTTATTACTTCTATTATATTTATGGTCCTGTTACTTTTTTGTTTTACTCTCAGAATTGCAAATACCAACTTATCTCTATGACGGCTGTAATCTTTGTTTTTTCCTTCACCATATCATGTAGAAAGAACATTATATTCAATATTTTTAAACATGTTAGGATTTCTATACCACATCACCAATTATTATTATTATTATTATTATTATTATTATTATTATTATTATAGTGGTATCCTTGGCTTACACTCAGGTATTTAACATTAAATCACCTCATTTCTGCATAAATACTTTACTTTGCCCCACTATCTGTGTAACTAACTCATCGGTGTTGTTAAAATGGGAAATGTGATGTTACTCAACTACTGGCATTTTCGCGTATTTGACAATGTGCCACATTTATTACGTGCAGACTAGTGATAACAATTACGTAGTTAGTTTGACCTACCTGGGAAGTATCGTTTCAACTACAGGCCGACGGAACTGACGAGGATATCAAAGCCAGAATCGGAAAAGCAAGACAAGCTTTCATTACTCTCAAATCTGTGTGGAGGTCAACAGCACTCAACATCAAAAATAACATCCGGATTTTCAACTCCAATGTGAAGTCAGTCAGTGCTACTCACTATCCGGATCAAAGACTTGGCACATCATAAAGAGCACCTCAAACAAACTACAGACCTTCATTAACAGTTGTCTTGGCTCAATACTACTCTACATCAGATGGTCGGTCAGAAAAGATCAGCAATAGGGATCTCTGGCAATCAGCGAACCAACCAGGAACCGATTGTGAAACAAATAGGTAGGAAGAAATGGAGGTGGATTGGCTGGTCATACTTTGAGGAAACAAACTATCAGGTGACATCACTAGACAAGCTATTGCTCGAGTGGAACCCGAAAGGGAAACGGCGAGTTGGTCGTCAGTGCAAGGGTGACTTGGAGGAGGTCATGTGAGGAGGAGATGAAAGCATGTGGGCACACTTGGAACGGGGTGAAAAAGTTGGCAGAAAACAGAGGGCAGTGGAGACGTGCGGCTGAAGCCCTATGTTCCTCTAGGAACTAAAGGATATAATAATAAGTATAATAATAATAATAGTTAGTTTGAACGCGATTTACAACCCTTGGCCCAACAGTGATGGTTGAAAATTAAGCGCCTACACGAAATGAGCGATCATTCTGTTAGGTATTCAAGCGCTGTGGTATAAGTGACATTCGAGGCTTTTAGGCTTATGATACAACTCTGTGTTACCTAAGTAAATGAGCTACGTTTTGATCGGTGTGTATTTAAATGTTGGTAGTTAATGATAACTGGTTACAGGATTTCATCAAGAGCTGACATCAGTTAGGGAACCACTGTAATACCACCACCAGACTACTGGACAGCCGGCTGTTTCGTAACACTAGTTAGGGATTCTACAGCAGCACTCATCCACTGCCAGGTTTCAAAATCAGGACCCTCCGGTTACACAAGGCCAGCGAGCTCATAAATGATTCAGCCACTGAGACGCTATCCAGTGACCAGTCAGTCCATGAAATCCAACTTCTGCGAATAATTCACGATATAGCGTGGCTGACACTAGCCAATGACGTTGGCTTCGGCGCCGAGTATTTCTCCTCATAGCCGACCTGCTGTACCCCAGCTGGGGCTTGATAGCCTACAAGTTTGCCTCGTAACCGGAAAGTCCTATTTTCGAACCCTGGTGGGGTGCGTGCTGTTGATGAGTCCCGAGAACTGGGACGAAACGGCTGTGTAGTATTGTCATACAGTTTTTTCCAATGGTTCTCTAACCAACGTCAACTCATGATAAAATCTTGTAACCAATCAAATTAAATCCCTGCAAACTAACAGTTTGAATAGTTATAATCAATAATTTCATTCGAAAAAAAGTTTTATTCTTATCAGGAAAATATTGATTAGTTTTTCTTTGGTATCGTGAGGGAGACGAATATCTCTCTCTCTCTTTATTAATCAAGATAATAATCTTATCTCGATTTCCAATACTTTTTGACATTTTGCTTTACCTATGTGGATAGATGGAGAGAATAACAGGGGCGCGGGGGGTGGGGTGGAGGGTGAACTTTCAAGATAAATGGCAGGGTACATAATAAGATACATAGTATCGTGGATCCTCTTCACTATGTAAACAAGTATAAGGTTGTTAATCAATAAATTAGGAAAATGAATGCTGTCTATTTTCTGATATATATATATATATATATATATATATATATTCACTACTTGGAAA